GCTGACACTCTAACTGCTGAGCCAAACAAGCCAGGGATATAATTTTTTTCTTAAATCTTTGGTAGAATTCACCAGTGAACTGGGTGTGGTGCTTTCTGTTTTAGGTTATTAATTACTGATTCAACTTTTTGTGTTATTGTTGTGAGGATATTTTTTTGATTGATTTTTAGAAAGACTGGAAGGGCCCAGCCAGTGTGGCACAGTGGATTGAGCGTCACCCCATGGACTGAGAGGTCCCAGTTTGATTCCTGGTGTGGGCATATGCCTGGGTTATAAACTCAATCCCTAGTAGGGGACATTCAGGAGGTAGCTGATCAATGTGTCTCTCTCACACTGATGTTTCTATCTCTCTCTCACAAAAAAAAAAAAAAGTTTAAAAAAAATAGAAAGAATGGAAGGGGAGGGAAGGAAGGGAGAGGGGAAGAGCGAGAGAAAAAGACAAAGAGAAAGAGAAACATTGGTGTAAGAGACACAACCATTCGCAGCCTCCCACATCTGCCCCAACAGGTTGGGGATCGAATCTGCAACCCAGGTACGTGCCCTTGACTGGGTATCGAACCCACAACCCTTTGGTGCACAGGATAACGCTCTAACCACTGACCACCACCGACCAGGGCTGATTCCTTTTTTTTTTTTTTATCCTCACCCGAGGACATTTTTCCATTTTTTGTTCAGACAGAGCGGGAGGGAGAGAGAGGAAGAGAGAGAGAGAGAGAAACATCGATGTGAAGGGACACATCGAATGGCTGCCACCCGCATGACCAACCAGGGCCGGGGACAAACTGCAACCGAGGTACGCGCCCTTAGCGGGAACCGAACCCAGGTCTCTCAGTACCGCAGGCCGACGCTCCAACCGCTGCGCCAAACCGGCCAGGGCTGATTCCTTTTTTTTTAAAATATATTTCTTTATTGTTGAATGTATTACATTCCTCATCTTTCCCCCATTGACCCCCCCTGCTCCCCATGCCCACCCCCCTCTTGCCTTTCCCCACACTGTTGTCTGTGTCCATTGGTTATGCATATATATGTATAAGTTCTTTGGTTTCTTTCTTTTTTTAAAAAAATTTTTTTTTCTTTATTGATTTTAGAGAGAGAGAGAAACATTTATGAGAGAGAATATCGATTGGCCGCCTCCTGCATGCCCCCCACTGGGGACCTGGCCCACAATCTGGGCATGTGCCCTGACCTGGAATCAAACCAGTGACCTCTTGGTGCATGGTTCAACACTCAACCACTGAGCCACCTCGGCTGGGTCTTTGGTTTATTTCTTTCCACCTCCCAACACCCTTTCCCTTTGAGGTTTGTCAGTCTAACAACCAGTTTGTACTTCTTAATCCCTTCACCTTTTTTACTCATTCCCCCAACCCCTCTCCTATCTGGCAACCAACAAAATTTCTCAATGAGAATGTTCTGTCCTGCTTGTTCATTTTGTTTGTAGATTCAATTGTCAATAGATATGTATTCATTGCCATTTATTTTGTTCATATTTTTTATCTTTTTCTTTTTTTTTTTTTTTTATCCTCATCCGAGGACATTTTTTCCATTTTTTGTTCAGATAGAGAGGGAGGGGGAGGGAGAGAGAGAATTTTTTTTTTTTTTTTCATCCTCACCAGAGGACATTTTTACATTTTTTACACAGATAGAGTGGGAGGGAGAGAGAGGAAGAGAGAGAAACATCGACGTGAAAGGGACACATCGAGTGGCTGCCACCCACACGACCAACCAGGGCCGGGGACAAACTGCAACCGAGGTACATGCCCTTAGCGGGAACCGAACCCGGGTCTCCCCGGACCGCAGGCTGACGCTCTAACCGCTGAGCCAAACCGGCCAGGGCGAGAGAGAGAATTTTTTATCTTTTTCTTCAAGAAGACCCTTCAACATTTCATATAATAATGGTTTGGTGGTAATGAACTCCTTTAGCTTTTCCTTGTCTGAGAAACTCTTTATATGGCCATCGATTCTAAATGACAGCTTTGCAGGATAGAGTAATCTTGGTTGTAGGTTCTTGCTTTTCGTCACTCTGAATACTTCTTGCCACTCCCTTCTGGCCTGCAAAGTTTCTTTTGAGAAATCAGCTGACAGCCTTATGGGAACTCCCTTGTAGGTAACTAGCTGCTTTTCTCTTGCTGCTTTTAAGATTCTCTTTGTCTTGAACCTTTTGCATTTTGATGATGAGGTGTCTTGGTGTGGGCCTCTTGGGGTTCAACTTATTTGGGACTCTCTGTGCTTCCTGGTCTTGCATGTCTGTTTCCTTCACCAAGTTAGGGAAGTTTTCTTCCATTATTGTTTCAAATAGGTTTTTGATTTTTTGTTCTCTCTCTTTTTCTTCTGGCACCCCCAAGATGCGAATGTTGGCACGCTTGAAGTTGTCCCAGAGGCTCCTTACCTATCCTAATTTTTTTGTATTCTTTTTTCTTTTTGCTGTTCTGATTGGGTGTTTTTTGCTTCCTTATATTCCAGGTTGATGGCTTGCTTTTTGGCTTTACCGACTCTGCTATTGAATCTGTGTAAATTATTCTTTATTTCAGTTAGTGCCTCCTTCATTTCTGACTGTGCACCCTTTATTTCTGACTGTGCATCCTTCATTTCTGACTGGTCCTTTTTTATGTTCTTGAGGCCCTCACTAAGTTCGCTGAGGTTCTCACTAAGTTCATTGAGCATCCTTATAAGCAGTATTTTGAACAAAGCATCTGTTAGGTTGCTTATCTCCATTTCGCTTAGTTCTTTTCCTGGGGTTTTGTTCTGTTCATTCATTTGGGACCTGTTTCTGTTTCCTCATTTTGGCTGCCTCCCTGTGTTTGTTTCTATGTATTACTTAACGAGAGGTATGGGGCTAGCTGAGACCAGATGCTGCTTGTTTGAAAGAATTTAGGAAAACCTGAAGCAGGATCCAAGACAGGCCAATCCTGTGGTGAAGCAACTGGCAACAGCTTGGGTGGGCCTGAAAGTTGGGTGGGGCAGGGCCTCAGGGAATCACCAGGGTGGGGCAAGCCTTGTGAGCCACGTTGCTGGAGGCCCGGATATGGCAGCCATCTGCTGCCCTAGGGAAGGGCTCACCAAAGGAACAAAGGCCTCTGACAGCAGTCTGTCCAGGAGAAAGCCTGCTCTCCATCCCTCGCTCCAATGCCAAATAGTTCAGTTCTTCCCTGTATATCTCTGGCGCCCCTCAAGCTGCCTCCCCTCCAAGCTTAGAGGGAGTGAGTCCTATAAATCTGTGCACGGGCCCTTTAAGGTGAGCTGCCTGGGGCTCCAGCCACCTCATTGAGCCTCAGTTCCCGCTAGTTTTTCCAGCCAGAAGTTATGGGGACTTCTCTTCCGGGCACTGGAACCCTAAGCTGGGTGCCTGGTGTGGGATGGGGACCCCTCAGACCTTAGGGAGGACCCTCACAGTCAAGGTGTCCCTCCTGATTTTCATCCACTACACATGGGTATGGGACTAGCCTGTCACACCTCCACCCCTCCTACCAGTGTCGATGTGGCTTCTTTAATTTCGTAGTTGTAGGACTTCCATTCAGCTTGATTTCAGGCAGTTTTGAATGATGGTTGTTCAGTAGTTTAGTTGTAACTTTGATGTGGTTGTGGGAGGACACGATACCATGTTTATCTACACTGCCATCTTGACCGGAAGTCCCCTGATTCAACTTTTTAAAGTCGAAATAGTCCTCTTCATGTTGCCTATTTCTTCTTGTGTGAGTTTTAGAAGATTGTATCTTTCAAGGAATTGGTTCATTTCATGTGGGTTGTCAAATTTGTGGGCATAGAGTCATTCATAGTAATTATGATTCTTTTAAGGTCCGTAGGATCTGTAATGATGTCCCCTTTTATTTCTGTGATTAGTGATTTGTCTCCTCATTTTTCTTAGCCTGACTAGGGGCTTAACAATTTTATTGATCTTTGTTTTTTTTTGTTGTTTTTTTTTTAACCAATGTTTCTTACTGGATTTTCTAAAGAGGGTACATGCTTGTGTCATGACCCAGGAGTACAAAGAAGATGCTATCTCCTTGTCCTTCCATTCTACCCTAGGTACCAATATTAATGTGTCTAGGGGTCCTTCCACCCCTCTCCTGGCTCATAGAAGCAGTCTGTGGAGTTTCTTTCTGTTGTCTTTTATACAAAAGGAATTTTACATCATCTTTGAGGCTGCATGTTGCTTTTGTAGTAGCAGTGTTGTGCCATCACCATCCCTTCAGGTTTGTGAGTTGAAGTCTTAACTCCTTCCTGTTGAGGACTGTGTAACCTGTGATATATGTACAGGTTTTGTTACATGGGGCTGGGCTATAACTCTTCCCTCTGGTGTGGACCCCAGAGGTGGGACTGTAGGCTTAGGACATGCATACTCAGAGATACCAGGTAGGTGCAGAGGGAGCTGCAGGCTCTGCCAGCTCTGAACCCACTGCCACCTGTTCCTAGCTTGGGGCGGGAGGACCACGCCTTTAGGGAACTGAGGGGACCCTTGGCTTTCAGCAAGGCAAGAGGCTTTTGCCCTTGGGTTGGAGTCCAGGTCCTTATTTGTTTTGATGTTCATTGTCTTTGTTTTGGCTCTGTTTGCTATTAACACCTCTCACAGAAGTATCAGAAAAACTAGTGTTCTGAGCTATGCAGTTCGGGGCAAATCCTGCCGTTCTGGCACCAGGTACTGTATCTCTCGTACCTCAGGATTTCTTGGTTTGAAGGCACTAGTGCTCCTCTAGGACAGCAGGGGAAGAGCTTCACAGAGCTTAGGGCAGGTCTGAGGGAGCCCACCCCTTTTCCTTGGAAGTAGGGGATTAATGACATGACAAGCCCCCAATAAAGATGGGGTGGGGGTTTGGTGCAGCTCTTGGCATGCCACATTGTTTTTCAAGTTTGGATCACTAGAACCAGCAGCCACGGAGGCCTGGCAGGGCAGGAGGTCATGGTGGAGACTTTGAAGTGACCCTGGCTGACCTGGTAGGAGCCTGCACAAGGCCCACACTACTACTGTTCTAGCTAACAGTGTGTCCCTCCACTCTCCTTTGCAGCTTTCTGTATGAACCCAGCAGCCAGGGGTATAAGTACTACCGCCAGAAGCTGGAGGAGTTCCGGAAAGCAGTGGCGGGCCCCACAGGCACCCAGATAGTGCCCGACCTCTGCCCTCAGCGCAGACCCCCTCCTGAGACCCCATCAGGATCTGTGCTTTGCACTGCTGCCTGCCCCACTTCATCTACCCCCTCGCCTGCTGTCACCGCAGCTCCAGCTGCCCCTGGAAAGCCAGCCACCACAGCCACTGTGAAGAGGAAGCGAAAGAGCCGATGGGGGCCAGAAGAGGATAAGGTGGAGCTCCCACCTGCCGAGCTGGTGCAGAGAGACGTGGACACCACCCCATCACCCCTGTCAGGTGGGATTTGTCAAGAGGTCTGGCATCATGTTTTCAGGGTTCGTCTGTGTTGTAGCAGGTGTCGGGACTTCTTCCCATCTATTGCTGAATAGTGTTCCATTGTGTGGATGGACTACACTTTCATTCGTCATCTATTGATAGACACTTGGTTGTTTCCACCTTTTGGCAGTTGTGACTAGTGCTGCTGTGAATACGTCACATACAGGTACTATTTGGATCCCTGATTTCAGTTCTCCTGTTTGTATACCTAGGAGTGGAATTGCTGGATCATGTGGTGATTCTACGTTTCACTTTTTAAAAAATCCTCACCCAAGGATATTTTTCTATTTATCTTCAGATGGAGTGGGAAAGAGGGAGAGAGAGAGAGAAACAGTGAAATGAGAGGGACACATCGACTGGTTGCCTCCTGCACGACCCCTACCAGGGCTGGGGATGAACCACAACCAAGGTACGTGCCCTTAACCGGAATTGAACCCAAGACTCTTCAGTCCGTGGGCTGACAATCTAACTGCTGAGCCAAACTGACCAGGGCTACATTCCACTTTTTAATGAGCCACCAAACTGTTCTCTATAGCAGGTGCATGCATCATTTTACATTCCCTCCAGTAATGCACAAGAGTTTCAATTTCTCCACATCCTCACCTAGTAGGTATAAAGTGGGTTCACACTGTAGTTTTGATTTACATTTCTCTAGTGACTAATAGTGTTGAACATCTTTCCATGTGCTCATTGGTCATTTGTATAGCTTGTTTGGAGAAATTTCTATTTTAGTTATTTTCCCATTTTTAATTGGATTGTCATTGTCGTTGAGTTGTAGGACTTCTTTGTGTATTCTGGATATTAACCCTTGTTTAGATATATTGTTTTCACATATTTTCTCTCACTCTTTGGGTTGTGTTTTTACCCATTTAATAGTGTCTTGATTCACAAAAGTTTTAAATGTTAATGAAGTTCGTATTTTTGTTTGTTGCCTATGATTTTGGTGTCATATTTAAAAAATCATAGCCAGCCCTGGCCAGTTTGGCTCAGCGGTTGGAGCGTCGGCCTGCGGTACAGAGAGACCCGGGTTCGGTTCCCGCTAAGGGCACGTACCTCGGTTGCAGTTTGTCCCCGGCCCTGGTTGGTCGTGCGGGTGGCAGCCACTCGATGTGTCCCTTCACGTCGATGTTTTTCTCTCTCTCTCTCTTCCTCTCTCTCCCTCCCACTCTATCTGAACAAAAAATGGAAAAATGTCCTCAGGTGAGGATAAAAAATAAAAAAAAGAAATCATAGCCAATACAAGGTCATGAAGATTTGCCTCTATGTTTTCTTCTAAGAATTTTAGCTCTTAAATTTAGGTATTTGTTAATCCTCACCCAAGGATATTTTTCTCACTGATTTTTTTAGAGATAGTGGGAGGGAGGAATGGGGGTGGGGAGAGAGACACATCAATTGGTTGCCTCCTGCATGCACCACGACTGGGACCGGATATCAAACCTGCAACCCAGATATGGGTCCTTGACCAGGAATCAAACCCGTGACCCTTCAGTGTTCAGCCTGACACTCTAACCACAGAGCAACACTGGCCAGGGCTTAAATCTAGGTATTTGATCCATTTTGAATTAATATTTATATATAATATAGTGTAACGGTCCAACTTTATTCTTTTGCTTGTGGATGGATGTCCCAGCACCATTTGTTGAAGAGACTGTTCTTCCCTCATTAAATGGTCTTATCAAAAATCAATAGACCATAGCCCTGGCCGGTTTGGCTCAGCAGTTGGAGCGTCGGCCTGCAGTCCAGAGAGACCCGGGTTCGGTTCCTACTAAGGGCACGTACCTCGGTTGCAGTTTGTCCCCAGCCCTGGTTGGGTCGTGTGGGTGGCACCCACTCAATATGTCCCTTTCGCATCGATGTTTCTCTCTCTCCTTCCCACTCTATCTGAACAAAAAAATGGAAAAATGGAAAGGTGTCCTCAGGTGAGGATAAAAAAAAAATCAATAGAACATAGATGTAAAGGTTTCTTTCTGGGCCTTATTCTATTACACTAGTTTGTATATCTATCTTTACACCCGTACCACACTGTTTTGATCACCGTACCTTTGTAGTAAGTTTTGAAATCAGGAATGTTAGTCTTCTGAGTTTTTTCTTCCTTTTCAAGCTTTGGCTATTTAAGGTCCCTTTAATTTTCATATAGGCTTTTTCATTTCTGTAAAAAACACTGTTGGGATTTTGATAGGGATTGCATTGAATCTGTAGGTCATTTTGGGTAGCGCTGACATGTTAATAATAATTAAGATTTTCAATCTGTAAACATACGGGATGTATCTTCTTTTACTTAGGTCTTCTTTCATTTATTCTGACATGTTGTAGTTTTTGTTGTACAATCCTTGTACCTCCTCGTTTAAAGGTATTCCTAAGTGGTTTATTCTTTTTGATGCCATTGTAAATGGATTTTTTTTCCCAAATCCTCACCCAAGGATATTTTTCCATTTATCTTCAGATAGAGTGGGAGGGAGGGATAGGGAGGGAGACAGAAACATCAACTGGTTCCATCCTGCATGACCCCGACCAGGACCAGAGACACAACCAAGATATGTGTCCTAGACCGGAATTGAACCCACGACTCATTGGTTTGCGGACCAGTGCTGTAATCGCTGAGCCAAACCGGCCAGGGCTGTAAATGGAATTTTAAAATTTTTTATTTTTGGGTTATGTGTTCTTAGTGTATAAAAATGCACCCTGGCCGGTTTGGCTCATCAGTTAGAGCGTTGGCCCGCAGACCGGAGAGTCCTGGGTTCGGTTCCTGCTAGGGGTGCGTGCATTGGTTGCAGTTTGTCCCTGGCCCCAGCCGGGCCATGTGGTTGGCAAGCACTGGATGTGTCTCTCTCATATCGATGTTTCTCTCTCTCTTTCTCCCTCTCTCCCTCCTGCTCTATCTGAAGATAAATGCAAAAGTGTCCTTGGGTGAAGATGAAAAAAAAAAATGAATTCAGTCAAGTCAGTCAAGTTGAAAGATATATAATGAATACACAAAAACCAGTTGTATTTTTTTTTTTTAATCCTCACCCAAGGACATTTTTGCATTTATCTTCAGACAGAGCAGCAGGGAGAGAGGGAGAAAGAGAGAGAAACATCGATGTGAGAGAGACACATCGAGTGCTCGCCACCCACACGGCCTGGCTGGGGCCGGGGACAAACTGCAGGCGCCCCTAGCAGGAACCAAACCCAGGACCCTCTGGTTCGCAGGCTGACGCTCTAACTGATGAGCCAAACCGGCCAGGGCTGAATTCATTTTCAGCTTTAAGTCTTTTTGTGGCTTCCTTAGGGATTTCTACATATGAGATTATATAATCTGCAATAGTGACAGTTTTACTTCCTTTTTTCTAATTTCAGTGCCTCTTATTTCTTTTTCTTGTCCAATTGCTCTGGCTAGGACTTGGAGTGCTATGTTGAAGAGAAGTGACAAAAGTGGGGATACTTGCCTTGCTCCTGATTTTAGGGGGAAAGCTTTCAGTCTTTCACTATTGCGTCTATATATTGTAATTTTATTTGACTTTAAGGCTGTTTTATCTGAGACTAGTATATCCTTCCCAGGTCTCTTGGTACTATGTACATGGAAATTTTTTTTCTATCCTTTTACTTTCCAACCTCTTTGTGTCTTTGCATCTAAAGTGAGTTTCTTATAGATGGCATGTAGACAGATCCTATTGTCTCCTTTAAGCATTAAAGTACTTGCGTTCATTCTTGTCATAGAAAGCCTCCTGCACTAGGCTTCCACAGAGTTCAGAGCCTCCACAGACCTTCAAGGAGAGATTGAGGTGCATACTGGGGTCAAAGAGCACCTGCAGTTGGTTCTTATTGGCAAAGCCCCAACCATGGGGAGCTGGAGGACCCAGCTCTCTTCACTTTCCCAGAGGAGCCTCTCCACCCCTTCTGGCTGGCTTCTCCCCTAGAAGCCAGCTCCTGAGGGCTAGTTGTTCTCACCATCCAGTTGGGCCATCACAACATCTTCAGATGGATCAGTGCTGCTGGAGCTCCAGCTGAGCTCCAAAGCTGATGCCAAAGAAAATGCTGTCAGGATGGTTGGCTTCCTCCCCAGAAGGAGCTGACAGAGCCACACAGCTGAGTTTTACACCAGACTTTGAACCTGTGTATGTCTACGCTGGGCGTCTTCCAAGAGCCAGTGTCTGTGAGTGTGCACACGTGCATACACACACTTATCTCTGCTCTGGCTCCGCAAAATCCCCACCATGTCATCCATTAGCCATATGACCTTGACTGAGGCCCCTGACCTGAGAGTTCTGGTGTTGGCATCTGCAACATGGAGATGTAGGGCCTACCTGGAGGGGGCATGTGGGAATGAAACTAGGTGCACATGACAGTGCAAGGCATGACTCCTGTGGACCTCATGTGACACAGGAAATTAACTGAACTGATATGAGGACCCTCCAGGTGCCTCGGGTGTTGTCAGCCAGTGATTCTACACCACACTCAAGAGCAAGGCCAAGTCCATGTGTCCATCACTAACTGGCCTGTGTCTTGTTTCCAGTTCAGGACCTAAAGGGGCTAGGCTATGAGAAGGGGAAGCCCGTGGGTCTAGTAGGTGTCACGGAACTGTCAGACGCCCAAAAGAAGCAGCTGAAGGAACAGCAAGAGGTAAGGCGGGGGGGGGGGGGGCGGGCAGGCTCCACAACTGCTGGTGGCAGGTTGTCCCCACCACCTCACCTGTGGTGCAGTGATCACACAGTCAGCAGAGAGGCTCCTGGGTAGGCAGGTTCCCCATCAATGGCATGCCAACCCCAGCCTGCAGCTGCGCCCAGAGCTCAGGCCTCCTCGTGCTTGCCTGTCATCCCCCATGGCCAGTGCTCAGTAGCTACTCCATATCATGCCTGTGGGCTCTTCCCACTCAATAGTCTTAAATTTTTCATCCAGTTCCCTCTAGTACCCAGTCCAAGACAGGCCTGGCTAGCACTGGACACCCTGAGTGATAGGAGGACCAGTCAGCTGGTATTGGGCAATATTGGGGTGAGGGTTGGCTCAGCCTCTTTGCTGCTTCCCTGGGGAACTAGAAGCACAGGCCTGTCAGTTCTTTTTTTTTTTTTTTAAGTTTTTTTTTTTTTATTTTTTTATCCTCACCCTGAGGATATTTTTCCATTTTTTGTACAGATAGAGTGGGAGGGAGAGAGAGGAAGGGAGAGAGAGAGAGAGAGAAACATCGACGTGAAGGGACACATCGAGTGGCTGCCACCCGCACGACCAACCAGGGCTGGGGACAAACTGCAACCGAAGTACGTGCCCTCAGCGGGAACCGAACCCGGGTCTCTCTGTACCGCAGGCCGACACTTTAACCGCTGAGCCAAACTGGCCAGGGCACAGGCCTGTCAGTTCTTGGGGACGCCTCACCCTGGGGCCACCTCCTCCAGGCCAGTAGCCCTGTCATGTCATCCTTAACCTTCCCAGGGGTCAGGAGCCCAAGTTGTCTTCATTCAATCTTTGATGATGGTACCCAGTTCTAGGTGAGACAGAGAGGGGCCTCTCTGCTTATCACAGGAACTTGGGGGCTTGGAGCAGGTCCTATCACAGGACTCAGTGCTAGCACTTGCTCCATTGCTAACTCACAGGCCTGCCCCAGGGAGGGAGTCCTATATGCCCTGGGTAGGCCAGGGTCCCTTCTGTACACAGGTGGTGCAGGCCCGGCTCACAGCATATGCCGCCCACAGATGCAGCAGATGTACGACATGATCATGCAACACAAGCGTGCAATGCAGGACATGCAGCTGCTGTGGGAAAAGGCACTGCAGCAGCACCAGCACGGCTATGACAGTGACGAGGAGGTGGATAGTGAGCTGGGTACCTGGGAGCACCAGCTACGGCGCATGGAGATGGACAAGACTCGGGGTGCGCCAAGACACCAGGCTGGGGACGGTTATGGGGGGAAGCGGGAAGCCCCACTCACCTGTTTGCCTATCAGGTCTTGGGCACAAGACTTGGCTTCTCTGTGCCTCCATTTCCTCAGTAGTAAAAGGAGTGGTGCAGGGCTTCCCTGGGGGAGCAGGGCTCAGGTCAGGGTCTCCACCAGCTGCCTCCCTCCCTGGCAGCCTCTCCCCCTTTCTTCTTTTACCTTTTCTATCTCACTGGGCAGAGTGGGCTGAGCAGCTGACAAAGATGGGCCGAGGGAAGCACTTCATCGGGGATTTTCTGCCACCGGATGAGCTGGAGAAGTTCATGGAGACCTTCAAAGCCCTAAAGGTGAACAGGGTATCCCCAAGCATCAGCCCTACTGTGGGACTGTCCAGCAGATGGCCTCCTCACACACAGGAGGAACCAGGCCCCCTTTTCCATAGGAGGCATCTGTTCACACTAGATGTCCATTTGGTGAATTCACAAATAGCTCAGCCGCCACTGTAGGAACATTTCCTGGGACTTCAGGAAATCCTGCTTCTGGTGGATCCAATTAAGTACAATGTGCAGGCAAAGCGTTTCTCAGGCACAAGCCCCCACGGACTGAGCTCCTCAGAAGGAGAGTGCAACATTCCTCCTATGCACAGCTGACGGGCATGAAGCCTTATCACCTAGTTGACTACGGCTTCTTTTTCACACTGTGTAACAAATCACGCTCAGAACCTGGGCTTTTCTTTGCTGGTTGAACCATTTATCTTGCCCATGTAGAGGAGCCTGTGTGGCTGTCATCTCGCCCTCTTTTATTTTTTTTATATCCTCACCCGAGGACATTTTTCCATTTTTTGTTCAGATAGAGTGGGAGGGAGAGAGGTAGAGAGAGAGAGAAACATCAACGTGAAAGGGACACATCGAGTGGCTGCCACCCACACAACCAACCAGGGCCGGGGACAAACTGCAACCGAGATACGTGCCCTTAGCGGGAACTGACCCCGGGCCTCTCTGGACCTCAGGCCGACGCTCTAATCGCTGAGCCAAACCAGCCAGGGCTCATCTTGCCCTCTTTGACTTGGTTGCCAGGGAGCACTAAGTGTGACCATGGGAACCTGAGGAGGAGGGACTGGTTTCAGGTGGGGGGCAGATGGGCAGATGATCCAGTGGTTCCAGTCAGTGGCCAGTGAGGCCATAGGGGGTGTGTTTTGGGCCTTGGGGGATGACATCTGCCTGGCCCTGCAGGAAGGCCGTGAACCCGACTACTCCGAGTACAAGGAGTTCAAGCTGACTGTGGAGAACATTGGCTACCAGATGTTGATGAAGATGGGCTGGAAGGAGGGTGACGGGCTAGGCTCAGAGGGTCAGGGCATCAAGAACCCAGTTAACAAGTGAGTGTGGCCCTTGAAGCAGGGTGTGGGTTGGGGGTTCCCAAATAGAGACACAGGCCCAGAGCCTGGGTCTAGTCCTGTCCCTGAGCCAAAGTTGGGCCTAGCTGTGAACCCTGGTGGCTAGCCCAGCTCAGGCTCTTCCTGCTTTCTGTGTGTCCCACATTGATATGCCCGAGACCAGCACAGCCTGCATGGCCCCTACAGATCCACTTTGAGCTGTAGCTGCTGCTGCTGAGTCTAGGCAGCTGGGTGGACTAAGCCTTCCTACCTCAGCTCAGGCTAGACATCCACTTTCCTGCTGGCACCAACCTACTTTCCTGCTCTCAACCCCCCCCCACACACACACACCCTGTTTTCCCCTGCAGGGGCACAACCACAGTGGATGGCGCTGGCTTTGGCATTGACCGGCCAGCAGAGCTTTCTAAGGAGGATGATGAGTACGAGGCCTTCCGCAAGAGGATGATGCTGGCCTACCGCTTCCGGCCCAATCCCCTGGTGCGTGCATCTCCATCCCCCACATTGCTCTGGCTTGGCTGCTGGTTCCTCACTGTCCACAGTATTGGGGTGGCAGTGCTGATAACAGAAGTGTCCTTCCTTCCCTAGTCCAGCTAGGCCAGGTCTAACTAGCAATCCCCACCACTACTCCACCTGCATTTAAGCCCCTTCTTCCTCCCCAAAGCTGGTCCTCCCATCTTGAGCATGTGAGCTCAGCTGCCCCTAGAAAGTTCTGGGTGGGAGGACCTGCCACTGTCTGTAGCCTTAACCTGCTCCCCTTTTATCTTTTTGCCTCCCGCAGAATAACCCCAGACGGCCTTACTACTGAGTATTCTGGAGAAACACACAAATATATTTTCCAGACGACCAACCAAACGTTATTGGACTGTAGAGTGTTTTGGACTGCATTTCTGCCCTCCCTCCCCATTGTCTTGAGTGTCATGCTGTGTATTAAAGTCCCAGTGCTTGCCCACTGTGGGAGCCTAGTTGTGCCATCACCAGAAACCCCTCTTGTTCCTCAGCAGCTGGCCTGGGCTGGGCAGGTGAGGATGAGATGCTATGTGAAGGCACCCAATGCCTGAGCAATCCCAGAGCACCACCTGGACCTTTGCTTGTTGCATCTCCATCCCTCATCAGCCTGGGTTGGAGTAGAGGGGAGGGCCACACCTGGGCCAGGGTAGCATGTTCTCCCAGCCTTTCCCAGATCACAGCTATGCTTCTCACCTCTCTGGCAAGTGGTCTCCCCTGCCAGTGATGGCCGCAGCCCAGGCTGCCTCAGCCGCCCTGGGTCCCACCTGTGTGTTGTACACATGTCCCTGGGGCTCATGCCTTTGTGGGACAGCTTTGTGCTAAGATGTCACACACATCCTAGAGGCTGGGAGTCTGGTGGGTGGCCTGGGCCAAGGTGTGTGGTGAGAGTTACTCATATCTCCAGAGCCACTTGTGCAGAAATACCTGGGGATCTTGTTCGGGGGCAACCATGCTTGAAGTATCAGAGCCTGGGAATTTGAGGGCACCACAGCTCACCCACCTGTCCCACACATGCACCCATTGGATTCTACTCTACCCTTGTGGGCTTATAGGCTTGACTCGAACTAGCATCGGGCTCCTGGGCCAGCCTGCCTTCACACAGTCATTCAGTAAACACTGAGCACCTTGAATCAGATGGGGATGTGAATGAACCCCTAACAATCTGAGACTGATCAGTTCTGCCAGGAGAAACTGGGAGCTGTGGTGCAGGTGACCTGGGCAGGGTCTCAATAAGGGCCTCAGGGACTGGGAGGGTCTCTGTAGCAGAGTACAGACTGGATGACATGCCACCATCCCCCTTCCATGGGTGCTGTGCCCAGGCAGGGCAAAGAAGTGACATTTGCCAGGATCCTAAGCACAGAGGAGTAGCTGTGGGCAGCCAGAGATTCCTAGTCACTCCACCTTGCAGACATGGTCACCTCTCCATTGAATTCTCAGTGACTGGGAGGCTCTCCAGACAGGACTTGACCCCCATGCATGAGAAGAGTTGGAAGAGGTCTCCAAATACTGTGTGTACAGGTACACCCCTGGCCCTGCAGGTGGCAGGGAGGGCTGCCTTGAGGGAGGGGCCATGGGTGAGGAAATACAAGAGGGTCCATCTTGTACACAGGAAAGAGGCCTATGGGCTATTGGCACTGCCAGAGTTAGGAAATTTCAAGAAACCAGGCTGGAGCTTTAGATCAGTGCAGAGGAACCTGCACTTCACCCCATGGGCTAAGGGCACCTGGGGAAGGCCAGAAGATCATGTCACCCAGGTTCAGACAGAGGACCCAGCTGGCACAAGGCCAAGGGACTGCATGGAAAAGGGGTGAGGGTTTCAATTTTCTCCCAACTCTGGATGTGCCCACCCCACCCCTGGGGGAAGGAATCTGGGTGGGCACTGCACACCATTTCTACAGCCGTAAGTACTACATGGGTAGACCTGAGGCTTGTTGGAGGTAGTGACAAAGACAAACACCTAATTCCACACGTGCAGACCTCTCCGAGGTCCATCCTCCCCTTTACATCTCTCCTTGGATCCAGCACAGCCTCCAGGCTACTCCTTTCTCCTGCTCAGCCCCAGTCCTGAGCTATTCTTGCTAGGAACTGGCTCCATCCCTACTTAATCTTGGGCCACCTCCTTTCGACCCCGCCCGTGTGAGCAGCCCCTCCCACCCTCCCATCCCCGCCCTCAGCTGCCCACAGTGTCCTGGCTATAAGGAAGGATCTCAGAGCACCGAATCACAGAATCCTTCAAGGTACTCCAACCTAGGGCTGCCCCCAGACTATCCAAGTTTCACTATTGGACACGTGTTTAAAATGTACCCGTGGCGCCCGGCCAGTGTGGCTCAGTGGTTGAGCGTCGACCCAGGCATCAAGAGGTCGCGGGTTGGATTCCCAGGTCAGAGCACATGCTCAGGTTGTGGGCCCAGTCCCCAGTGGGGGGCATGCAGGAGGTGGCCAATCGATGTTTCTATCTCTCTCTTCCTCTAAATCAATAAAGAGAAATAAATAAAGTGTGGCGCCCCCCAGTGAAAATTCAAACCCAAGGACACTGCACCCAAGTGTAAGATTGGTTCCTCCTCCTGCGCCAACGGACCGTGCCCACTTGATCCTGAGGAAAGGGAGGTCTGGGGAATGTGGGAGGTAGAGACTGGGACGCCGGTTCCTTAGTTTGAAAAAAGTAAAAAAGTAGAACAGGGCAGAACGAATTTCCACAGAATAAAGTTGCCGGCCCCGGATCTCCAAGACGCGGCTGTCGTGTTCTATCCTTTAATAGAGGGGGAAACTGAGGCTGGCCGGCGGGACAGCCACGGCGGATCGCTCTGACCCTGTGAGGGTGTCGGGAGGGGGGGGCCGCTGCGAGGGGTGGGGCCTCGGAGGCTTCACTGGAGCGCGCCTGGTGGCCAAGACTGGGACCGGACTAGGGCGCTGCTTGGAGCGAACTTTGCGCGGGGCGGGGCCGGCCTGGCCCGGCCGGGCAGGGTCCCTGGCAACCTCCTGCCCTGAAGCGCCGCTGCGGAGGAGCGGAGCGCCCTGAAGGTCGCGCAGGGCCGAACCGGGGTCCGGGCACCGCTACTATGGACATCTCGCCACTGGCGGGCAAGATCGCGGCTCTGTCGCTCGGCGCCCTCCCTGTGTCCTACGCGCTCAATCACGCCTCAGCGCTCTCGCAGTGGGTGCCGGGGACCGTGGGACTGCGGGCCACGCTGGGGGGTGCGGAAGGGGCTGGGGAGAGGTTTCGTATCCAGTGGACCTGGCTCCCCGCGGGCCCTGTGCTTAGCTTCTGGCCATTCCTGCCCAGGGTCTGAGTCAGACCCTCCCAGTCAGAAGTCCTCCTGGAGGTGGAGGCGTCCTTGGAACGTTTGGGGCCCCGGGAGAAGGAATCTTCAGAGTCCCCCCACAGGGCAGGGTTTTTGAGCGTTTCTCGGGTTTTCCCAGGGATATGCCCTGCATAGACTCCAAAGTCGCCAAGGGTCAAAGTGTTGCCCCAGATAAAGCCAGGTGACTAGGCTCTTGCCACATTCTGCTGCACCACCCCTGCCAGGTAGTCCCTCCATCTCCTGTTTAAAGCCTGGGACTCTCTTCTCTTCAGGGCTGGCCCACCGTGTCTCCTAGTCTCAGCTTCCCCATACATGCCTCAAGCTTCCCTGTCCCTGTCTCCTAACCTTAGCCCCCACCTCCACCCCCACCCCGGTCCTGGGTACTAGGCATTGGCAAGACCCCTCACACTCCTAAACCCAGCTCAACCCAAGAATGGGGTAGAGGGAATCTTGACTGTGGAGTTGGCTCTTTGGGTACAAATTCCTGGCTTCACCCCACTGGATTTCGATTGTTTCAGATTGCCTCTGGGAATCTCAGTTTCTTCACTGTGTAATGAACATAATTCTAGATCTCCTCCCATAGTTACAGTTAAGGATTATTAATTGTGTACAAAGACTCTGGTGTGGTCCCATCTGATTACTGTAATTATCACTGTTGGTCAGATGGGGCCAGGAATGGGGATCCTAGCTGTTAGAGGGATTCCAGAGAAGGTAGGGGCCTGGAGAGTGGGGGAGGGGGAAAGAATGTGTGATCTTGGTTAGATCTGCCCTCTCTGGGCCTTGCCAAGTGTTGGGGGCTGCCCAGAGATCTGGCTTCTATTGTCTATGAAACTGGTTGACCTGCCTTATCAGGTCAATGGGGACAGATCAGGGTAGGGGTAGGATGGACTTTAGCCAGGAGGAGTCAGGAGCTTCACACAGTGAAATGTACAGAGCTGAGCACTAGAGACCATCTGGCAGGTGTAGGTGTTGGGTTTGGCCACAGAAGGGCTCAGTGTTGTTGAATGACTGACTGAGAAAATTGAGTCAAACATATCAGCAAGTGATGGAATAAATCATACAATCAGAAGGAGTAGACAGATACCCCTTCTGTACCTGGCCCAACTCTGGCAATAATCTTTTCTGAGGAATCAGAGAAGGCTTCCTGGAGGAGGAGCAATGTAGATGGACCATGGAGAATGGGTAGAAGTTTGCCAAGTGGAAAAGAGACTTCTGGAAGGAGTTTCCAGTAGGTGGAAAAAGCCAAGGCAAGAACCTGATGATGGAAAAGGCAGTTTAAGGGAAGGGTATTTCTGAATGTACAGACATGCTTTATTTAGCCTCAGCACCTGAAGCTTCCCAGAGTCTGTTCTTGCTCTCACCAGGGCAGGTGGGGCCTCAGTACTAGGTCGGTCTGGCCTCCCTGACTTGGTCTTCCTCTTCACAGCCCCCTTGGCGTGGCCTTGATGAGTGCCCTGATCCTGGGCCAGCTCTTTGTGGCTATCTATAGCTTGTCCCGTGGGGAGATCTGCTACGATCCACTCTATGCTGGTGAGTCAGTGGGAAGGTCCTAGGGAAGAGAACTGTGTAAGCAAAGACTTCTCTATCACACTAGGGGCCCTTGAAAGGCCTCCTCCATCAATCATACTGGGGCCCCTTTAAGGGCTCCCATCAGTCTAGAGAACCTCAGACTGGAAAACCCCCATTGCCTGGGGAACCTCAGAGGCCCTCCTGTTCAGACTTGAGGCTACTGAGAGTGGGAACTATCTTCCCATCACTCTGGAGTCTCCTGAAGGCAGGGGTGGTGCCTCTCTCAACCTGGGAACCCCAAATGCAAAGACTGTGCCTTCCCTTGAGGGAGGGTTGTGGTTCATGTGACCTGTGGAGTAGAAACTAGGAGAAGTTGGGCGTAGAGTCAACGACTGGGTCTGGGTCCCTGCTGAAGCCTCAGGCCCTGCCCATACCCAGGCCTGCCCTGTACACTCTTCCTGCAGTGTTTGCAGTCTTTGCCTTCACCTCAGTGGTGGACCTCCTTATTGCTCTCCAGGAAGATGGCTACATGGTGGGCTTCATGGAGTTCTACACCAAGGAGGTACATAGGGGTTGGTCTGGGATGCCACCTGCCTGGCTGCATGTCTGAGCCCTGCACTTGTCTCCACAGGGTGAGCCATACTTGCGCACTGCGCACGGGGTCTTCATCTGCTACTGGGATGGCATCGTTCACTACTTCCTTTACCTGGCCATGGCTGGTGCCATCCGCAGAAGGTGCAAGGGGTGGGTGGGGTGGCACCTGGACCCTGGGAAACAGGTCACATCTTCAGGTGGGGTCTCAACTGGGGTGCAGCTAGAAGTAGGAGAAATCAGGAGGCCTCTTTAGGGCTCCAGCCAGGCATGGCTGGGAGAAGGTTCTGGGGAATGTCACAGGTGACAGTAATCTGCTCTCTTCTTGTACCAGCATGCGCCTGGGCAGCCATTTCTGTCCTTGGACAGAGAGTCTGACTGTTCATTCCCTCATTCAACTTCCTGTTGTCTCTTTCATTCTTGGCAAAACTGGGAAGGACCCAGAGTTGGGGAGCCCAGGGTGCATCCTGGGCCCTGGCTAGTGCTCTGAGACCGGGGATGGGTATTTACTGACCATCCCTTCATTCCCCACCCAGGAGAAGGTATCGGAACCTTGGACTGTACTGGCTGGGGTCCTTTGTCATGAGCATCCTGGTGTTTCTCCCAGGAAACATCCTTGGTAAGGACTTGGCTTTGAGGAATTCCACCTTCCTAAACTGGGTCACCTAGAAGCCCCCACTGGGTCCTTCATTCCTTCCCCAAGGTCTGCAGAGGGCCCCACATACCTGTTCATGCACAGCCTAAGCCAGCAGGCTGCCTACCTCTCTCCATTTCTTCCTGGAGGGGTGTTTCCAGGGAGAGCCAAGAACAGCTGAAGTGTAGGAACTGTGTCCAGAAGGTAAATTGAGGTAGGCCAGTCTGAGGAGCATGGACATCATCTTGTGGGCACCAGAGAACCACACATGTTGGGGGGGGGGGTGCGGGTGGGCAGAGGAAGAAGAAGAAGAAAAAAAGAAAAGCTTGAGTAAGTATGGCATTTGTGAATTACAACTTCCATCCAGAGGTTCCAGTGTGGCCCACCTAAAGAGCTCAGACAGGCCTGGGAGAGTCTCACTGAGTGATATTCATCTCTCCTACCATGACAGGGAAATACAGCTCAGAAATCAGGCCTGCCTCCTTCCTCACCATCCCATATGTGCTGGTCCCATGCTGGGCTGGTGTGAGGGTCTTTAACCAGTCCCCAGCACCAACCTGCTGCACCACCAACGTGGTAAGTACCTTGCCCCTAGGCAGTCATGTGCCCACTTACCTCAGTCTCTCCTTTTTGAATTATTTCTGGTAAAAAATATTATCTCCTTGGTCATTAGGAAAGAAGGGATGAGCCTTTTTGGAGTGCCTGTTGGATTGCTGACTTCTCGGTTTCTCTCCCACGGGACAGGTGCAGGAGGAACAAAGAAAGGGTCTCTTGAAGCGCCCGGCTGACCTGGCCCTCTTCATATACCTCATCCTTGCTGGGTTCTTCACTCTCTTCCGGGGCCTTGTGAGTCTGGCTAGTCTACTCCTCTCCTGCCTTCAGTCTTTCTGCCCAGCCTTCCCTTCCCATATATGTTTACTCAGTGCGAAAGAGTCACTGCCCTCTCATCTGATCATCAGGGAACTTCTTCATTGAGTCTGGCCTGAGTGTCCCATTCCCTGTAGCCTTCTCCCCAGCTCCAATATCTGTGAATTCTCAGCCAAAGGAGAGAACCAAAGCTGGGGGAGGGCAGGATGAAGGGTGTGGGCCCTGCCTGGGAGGATGGGGAAGGCGTCCTGTGGGAGGAATGTTTGAAGTGAGTTGTTGGTTTGTTTGTTGGCCCCAGGTGGTGCTCGACTGCCCCACAGATGCCTGCTTTGTCTATATCTATCAATATGAACCATATCTGCGAGACCCTGTGGCCTACCCAAAGGTGCAGGTGAGAGGGCAGGTGGGAGTAGAGGACCATGATCCTGCTGTGCATAGGGGTCCACTGGACTTCTTTGACACAGGTGCCAAAAACACAAGTCAAACTGGTAGAAGCACAAATTGAATTATTGTCCTATCAAAAAAGTATAGGCATAGTCTCAGGTATAGCTGGATCCAGGAGCTCAAGGAGAGCTCTGTCTCTGGGCTCTACTTTCTTTGCATGGGCTCCACTCCCAGGTAGTTCCTTTGTGGGATGGCAGAGAAAGCTCTAGGCTTCCTTCTGCCCTACTTAGCTACCCCAGAGGAATGTGACCCCTTATCTGCCTGTAGCTTAAGCACAAGTCTCAGGCATGCTCTGATTGGCCAAGTTTGAATCACATGCCCATCCTGTAGCTGATCATTGTGGCCAGGAGTAAGGTGGGTGGGCTCAGTGTGTGTGTGTGTTGGTTGGGGGGGTGGGTGGGGATGCCCAAAGGAAATAGAGGTACACGTTGTACATGGTAGGATGTACAGAGAACCTCCATCCTGGGTGGAGTCTGACATTGGTCAGATTCTCCCTGGGGCCCCCACCTCAGGGGTCTTGGGAGACCCATCTGGGGTATCTGCTTATCCCATTGACTTTGTGCCCCCCAGATGCTGGTGTACATGTTCTATGCATTGCCCTTCTATGGCCTGGCTGCCTATGCACTTATCTTCCCTGGATGTTCCTGGCTGCCTGACTGGGCCTTGGTGTTTGCTGGCGCCATTGGCCAGGTGAGGTGGGGCAGGGTGGGTGTGGGGCAGGTGCATTAAGGAAGAAAGTTTCTGCCTACCTATCAATTGTTTTTGTGTTCTCCCTGGGCAGGGTGATGCTGGGCCCCTGAGAGGCCCCAGCCCCAGCTCAGTACCCCAGGATCCCCTAGCCTGGAGGAGAAAGAGACAGACACAGACTCCCCCACCCCCTACCCCAATTCCATGGAGTCAGAACTGAAGAAAGGGAGAGACAGAGGCTGAGAGGGAGTATAGAGGGGACAGATTCTTAGAAGAGGGGGCCATAGGAACTGGTCTTAGACATATGGGTAGGAGTTCTCCAGGCAGGGAAGGTCATTCCAGAAATGGGAACAGCATAAGGAAAGGCACAGAGGAGGACAGTGATTTAGCAGAGCCATAACAAAAGTAAAGGCAGAGGCAAGAGAAATTGGCAGCTAGATGCTGAGGGCTTTGAACTCTGACCTTGGGGCTTGTGTGTAGTAAGATGGAGAGCCATGGGAGGTATTTGAGCAGTGGAGGACCCAGTCAGAGTTGGGGGTTCCTGACGAGATATGATAAAGGCTTGGCCCAGGTCAGAGTTGTGGGAACCAGGAGGACATCTATAGGGTAGAATCAACAGAATTTGTGTCAAGGGCAGCTGCCTTAGGTGGGAAAGAGCTGGCCCCAGGTCTGAGAGATGGGGTGCAGTGTCCAGCAGACAGAACGAACATGGTTCTGGTTAGGCAGCTGGGGAGAAGCTCACAGACAGATGTACAAGGACAGACAGGACCTGTAGGAATATTTAGAGATGGACAGACAAACTGGAAAGAGAGACAGGTAGGTTAGCAGAGGCACTGAGATGGGAATGGGAACCCTCTGGGCTCCCCAGGGTGGAATGTTGGTGATGCTGGGACTGGTTGTCTCCCAACCCCTGACATCTATCCTCCTTGTGTGGCTATCAGGCACAGTTTTCACACATGGGTGCCTCCATGCACCTGCGCACACCCTTCACCTACCGTGTGCCGGAGGATGCCTGGGCCTGCTTCTTCGTGTGCAACCTGCTGTATGCACTGGGCCCCCACCTGTTGGCATTTCGTTGCCTGCTGTGGCCAGCCTTCTTCCAGCGCCTGCCGCCCAGATCCCCAGCCCCCCACAAGAAGCAGAACTGAGGGGGCCTGTGGGACTCCCCAGGACTCCTCTAACACACATAGCTACCCCTGCCCCTAGAAGGGTGGGTTAGGTGTTTTAGAGGTAAGAGGTACATTCCTGAGGTTTTAGTTTCTGGCTACGGTGATTTTAAGTCCAGCTGGTGGGATGGAAGACCCAAAAGCCAGGTTTTCAAGCAGAGAGGGCCACGGACATGCTCCTCTGTCACTGTTCCCCAACCTCTACGATTCTTCTACTCCCTTGCCAAATTTACCCATTACTCCCATAAATCCTTTTACTAAAAGTCCTTTGATGCCTAAAATGTTGCTGCCTGAGTGTTTCAGGGGGCAGGGATGAGGGACTGTATTCTCAGACCCTAAAAAGGCCCACCATCACTGCCAACGTGACTGTCAGGAGCAGAATACAAGAAAGCAGAAGTCTGCCTCTGGTTGGTGTGCACACTTTCCAGATGGGGAAAACAGAGGCTTGGAGAGGATCAGAACCTGCCTGAAGCCATAATCAGGACAAGACTCCAAAGTCCTATCTTTGCCAATCTGCCAATAAATGATAATAATTAATAGTGTGGTACACTTATTAAGCACCTACTGTTTACCATGCCAAGGGCGAAACTTACATGCTATAATATTCTGGATCTCACCCCATATTCCAGATGGGGAAACCGAGCCTGCAAGAGGTGAAAGTCCTGATCTGAGATAATACATTTTGGATGCAGCCGAGCTAGGAACCAAGCCCTGGCCACTTCATCCACAAAGTCCATAACACTGCCTCTGCTGTCTGCTTGGTTCATACTTTGGAAACAGCCTGAGGAAGTAGCCAAGGGTTTGGGGGAAGAGCTCATTGTTTCCTGGTTTGATTATTGAACCTGGATGAAGAGCCAGGTTCAGGGGTGACAGGCCCACAGTGGAGTCAGGGGCTTGATCAGACTCCCCTGCTCCTTACTCCTACCAACATTGATTAGGCATCTATTGTATGTTTAGCCATTGGATCTTCGCCAAAGAATCAGTGCTCCATTTCCCAGAAGTGGGAACAGGTTCAGAGAGACCAAACTCTCTTCTAAAGTCCCACAGTGAGTGAAGGGCAGAGCTGGATTTGGATTAGTTGCTCATGAGTGGGTGATTGTTGTGGGGGACCCATTTCGCAGAGTGAGCACCTTTTCAGTGCCAGAGCCCAGGACAACCGGATGGCCACCCAGTGGCAAACCGCAAAACAGACCTGCAGGCCAAGCCCCTGTCCCAAGTTACTCAGCTCCCTGCCCATGCAAGGTATCTGAGGTAGAAGACTCCATCAGGCGCCTCCCTTCGGTTTTAAAGATGGTTAAATTGAGCCCCAGAGAGGTTCCTCCGCGGGCCCACAGTCAGCCAACAAGGGCGGGGACCTGGTCCTGTTCCTCCTGTCTTTCCTAGGAGCGCGCGCCTGAGCTTTCCCTTTAACATCCCCCCACCCCCCACCGCGCCACCTTGTCCGCCTCCCTCCTCCCCTTGCAGGCAGTCGCCGGGATTGCGCCGCCCTCTGAGACCTGCCTAGTCCTTCCAGTACGTGCCAGGAGCGCAGTCCTAGCGCGTAGGGGCCGATCGGCGGGACCGTAGGGGCAGCATGGTGAGTGGGACCGCGGCGCGGTTCCCCGTAGGTCCCTCTATGGGATTCTGTCTCTATGTCCCTCCGTGCTTCTCTCTCCAGTCTCTCTCCCACTCCATCTCTCCCATCCCTTCTGTCTCTTAACCTCCTTCCTGAACTCTGCCTCTCCTTCTCTATCCCTTATTCTCCCTACTTCCCCTCTCCCCCCAGTTTATTTTCTCTCCTTCTCTGAGTCTCTGTCTCTCGGTATCCCAATGTCTCCCTCTTGTCTCTGTTTCTCTTCCTCTTGCTCTCGTCAGTTTCTTTCGCTCCCTCTGCATCTGTTTCTCTCCGACTTTTCTTCCTCTTCTTTCTCCCTCTCCCGCTCTCTTCTGTCTTCATCTCTCCCTGCTGTTCTCTCAGTGTCTCCCTTTCTCAACAACTTTCCCGCATCCATAACCCCCACCCACCCCGGCCAGGTTTGCTGCAGTCTCCTGGCGCACGAATAACCTTGCCGCTGCCGCTACTCCAACTCCTCCCTCCGCCCCCCTTTTTCTGCCGGGGCCGGAGAGAGAAGGGGGTGGGGCTCCGAGCCGCTCGAGTTGAGGTTAGGGGATCTGGCGGGACTAAGGGAGGGTGAGTTCACAGGCGTGGGGCTTTGCACAAGAGCGAGCGAGCGAGGTCCCAGGAGAGGGAATGGGGAGGTGAGGGGGTTGCCAGCCTTTCTGTGGGAGTCCTCTGGAACCCTAGCCGAGTAGGAGGCGAGGGCACGTGAAAAGTCCTCGCCTCCGAGAAGAAAGGCCAAGGGGCTAGTCCTCCTAAAGGCAAAGACCAGGAGGTTGGACTGAATGCCCTATGCCCCCAGGTGTGGGCTCGGGTGGCCCTTGGTCCCTGCGCACTCTGGGCTGCGGCCTGGGGAGTCTTGCTGCTCGTGGCTTCCGCAGGGGGGCAGCGCAGCCGGAAGAAGGTCGTGCACGTGCTGGGTGAGTCAGTGAGCAGTGGCCAAGTGTGATCCTCAGGGTGCATGGAGGGGGGAAAGGGGAGGGCATTGGGCTTACTTGAAGGCCACAGTCCCCCCAGCTCCTCTCCTTCCTGTTCCCTCCCCCTCCAATTCCCTACCTGAGCCCCTTTACCCATCTGATTTACCCCCACCCAAGTTTAATAACTACATCCCCTTTCAGGGTCCCCCTCCCCAGTTCCCCCACCCCACCCCTAGGACCTCTTCTAAACTCTCCTTGGTTGCCCACAGAGGGCGAGTCAGGCTCGGTGGTGGTGCAGACAGCGCCCGGGCAAGTGGTCAGCCACCGGGGTGGCACCATCGTCTTGCCCTGCCGTTACCACTACGAAGCAACAATTCACAGCCACGAAGGCGTCCGCCTCAAGTGGACTAAAGTTGTGGAACCGCTGGCCTTTACTGATGTCTTCGTGGCGCTGGGCCCCCAGCACCGGGCGTTTGGCAGCTACCGTGGGCGGGCAGAGCTGCAGGGGGATGGTCCAGGGGACGCCTCCTTGGTTCTCCGAAATGTCACGCTGCAGGACTATGGGCACTATGAGTGTGAGGTCACGAATGAACTAGAAGATGACACTGGCATGGTCAAGCTGGACCTGGAAGGTGACCAGCCTGTGGGCAGAATGAGACGCATTTCTAAGGGAGGAGATGGGAGGGTATTGCAAGAAAGAGAAACCAAATCGTTGGCCTGAAGAATTTAGAGACTTGGTGGGGTAGGTTTGGTTCAGGGTGATTTTTTGCTACTCAGGGATACTGTAATGTCGAAAAGGGGGTTGCTGGTGGCATCTGGTGAGAAAAGACCAGAAATACTGTGATATATACCACAAAGCATCGGACAGTCCCCCACCGCATAAAATGATCAAGTACAAAATGCCAATAATGCAGATATTGGGAAACCCTGGAGTAGGATTCAGGCACTGTGAGATCTAGGTGCTCATACCATATCACGAATTCCTCCCTCAGTTGTGCTTCCCTGGGTGGACTTTCCTCTTGCAAGTTTCCCCTGATGAAACTAAAAATTCATGCCAGGCTTCCACCCTCCCAGCTTAGCAGTTGATTTCCTAGGAGTGCTAGCTAGAGCCCCAGAGTTGTCACTCATTGGGCCCAGCTTTATTTTTTTTTAATTAGCTTGAATTTTATTTATTAATTAAAAATTTTTTTCAGTTGATTTTAGAGAGAGAGGAAGAGGGAGGGAGAGACAGATAAAAACATCCATGAGAAACTCTGACTGGCTGCCTAGCCTACAACAGGTGCCAGGAATCAAACCAGTGCATGGGACCTGGCCCAATCCACTGAGCCACACAGGCTGGGCTGCACCTAGCTTTTTTTTTTTTTATCCTCACCGGAAAACATTTTTTGATATTTTGTTCAGATAGAGTGGGAGGGAGGGAGGGGGGGAGAGAGAGAGAGATCGACATGAATGGGACACATCGAGTGGTTGCCACCCACACGACCCAACCAAGGCCAGGGACAAACTGCAACTGAGGTACATGCCCTTAGCGGAACAAAACCTGGGTCACTCCGGACCACAGGCCAACGCTCTAACCGCTGAGCCAAACCGGCCAGGGTATTGCTGCACCTAGCTTTTGAGTCATGTGCCCATCTGTGGCTGGGAGATGGGGATGCTCTGATTGGCTGACAGTGGAGCTGGGAGGTGGGGTTTCTATCTGAAGAATTCCCTTCTACCTGGTTTGCCTTCTTCCGTCATTTAGAAGATGACTTGAAATATTTTAGGGCCTTCACGTGCTGAACTTCCGAACGATAGCAAATAACAACACAATAATAGCAGCAATTCTCCTTTACTGAGATTTTTCTATGTGCCAGGCACCTGGTTGAAGAGCTCTCTGGAGTCTCTCATTTAATTTCCCCAAAACCCCTGAGGAGGATTCAAACCCCTGGCTCAGTGAAGTTAGACCCTTGACAAAGGCACATGCTAGTGAGTAGCAGAGCCAGGACTTGAACTCTGGTCTGTCAGGCTCCAGGTCTTTTCCCTGGCCCTGTTTGCCTCCTTCCTGCATCTGCTGAGAATACTCAACTCACCCCCAAGGTCTGCCCTTCAAATATAGACAGATAGAACACTTATGAGCTGAGTTGACTATGAGTCTGATGAGGGATGAGTTATAACGACTAACAGTGGAAGAAAAATCAACTGGTACTGGACAATGCTGGAAATCAAAGGGAGTTTTAGCCCAGGGTCAACCTTTCAGGGGCCCCCAGTGTGGGGGAGCCAGCACTAGACATAGACATTTCCAGCTTTGTGGACTAGGCTTGATCAGAGGGAAGGTCCCAGTGCTAGGAGAATGCCAGAAGCACACAGGACTGAACGCAGGAAGGTTGTGGGAGCTGGGTTTTGAAGGATGAATAGGAGTTCAACAGGAGGAAAGAACATAAGCAAAGGTCTCCAGCAGTGGAAAGGGGGTAGACACAATTAAGTGTTATGGAGGAGAGTCAGGTGAACCAAGCTTAAGGCAAAGGGAGCCATGATGAGTGTGCGCTGGAAAAAAGCATGGTCAGATCTGAGACCAGAGTGAGGGATGGACTGGAAGATCTAGGTTGAAGAGACACAGGGCACCCCAGATGTTAGGTGGGTGGGGGGTGGCTGGGATTTTTGAGCTGACCCCCGTGTGTCCTTGCAGGCGTGGTCTTCCCTTACCACCCCCGTGGAGGCCGCTACAAGCTGACCTTCACAGAGGCTCAGCACGCTTGTGCTGAGCAGGATGGCATCCTGGCGTCAGCCGAGCAGCTGCACGCGGCTTGGCGCGACGGCCTGGACTGGTGCAACGCGGGCTGGCTGCGCGATGGCTCAGTTCAGTACCCGGTGAGCCAGCCCCGGGAGCCCTGCGGCGGTCTGGGCGGGGCCGGAAGCACCCGGGTTGGTGGAGGTGCCTCCGGGGGCGTGCGCAACTACGGCTACCGCCACAACGCGGAGGAACGCTACGACGCTTTCTGCTTCACGTCCAACCTCCCAGGTGCGTAGGCCCCGCCCGTGGGAAGACGCGCTCTTCCCTCCCGCGACAGGCCTTTTCCGGGTCCCCGCACTCTTAGTCTCTTTCCTATCCCCAGTTTCCTCTTCCCCGTCCTTGCCCTCTGGGGGCTCAGACCGGGTGATGAGTTCCCCAGGACCGCCACGCCGCGCAAATCAACGCTGCTCAGGTCGAGACTGAGGTCCTGAGCTGCAGGGAGGGAATGCTCTTTAATCTTGAGGCTGGAGTCCTGGGATGCAGGCAGGCCGGGGACGTCCTAAACTCCGAGGAGGCCAGGTCCGGCGAACGGTCCTAACCATTCCGCCAACTCCCCCACAGGGCGCGTATTTTTCCTGAAGCCACTGCGGCCAGTGCCCTTCTCTGGAGCAGCACGTGCGTGCGCGGCGCGCGGCGCGGCCGTGGCCAAGGTGGGGCAGCTGTTCGCCGCGTGGAAACTGCAACTGCTGGACCGTTGCACCGCAGGCTGGCTGGCAGATGGGAGCGCGCGCTACCCCATCGTGAACCCGCGCGCGCGCTGCGGCGGCCACCGGCCGGGCGTGCGCAGTCTCGGCTTTCCCGACCCCGCGCGCAGCCTCTTCGGCGTCTACTGCTACCGCGCGCCTGGCGCGCCCGACCCTGCACCTGGCGGCTGGGGCTGGGGCTGGGCGGGGGGCGGCGGCTGGGCCGGAGGCGCACGCGATCCCGCTGCTTGGACTCCGCTGCGCGTCTAGGCCCCGGGCGCGGAGGGCAGGGGGGCTTGGGGCCTGGCCAAGTTCCTGTTCCCTGGAAATGGACCACGCCTCCTGCGGTGCCCTGCAGGCTGACCAGGCTCCTATGGTCCTTGAACACTGAGCACACCCCCAGAGACTGGCCAGTTCCAGGAGACAAGTACCCTGGAGTGCCCTGGACACTGACCAAGCCCCCTTTCTTGGACAGTGGATTTCCCCTCCTCCCCTGACTTTCTCCAGGAGACCAGGCCCACCCTTGAGGAACCCTGGAGGCCAACAAAACCCAAGGTTTCCTGAAGACTATTCCTCTCTCCATCACCTGGAGATTGGACTCCTGAGATTCTTTGGAGACTGGTCACACGCCCTCTGCATCTTCCTGGAGACTGAAGACTTAGCGGTCACCTGGCAACTGAACCATCCTCCCATTACCTGTAGAGAAACTAGAAACCGCAGAGTTCCACAGGTGGCCACGCCCCCATAGTCACGTGGAGACTGTGGGCTTCTGTTCTCTCCCCCACGTAACCTGGAGATTGAGTACTCCCATCCTTGCCCCCTCTCCCTCAAGTTCCCTGAAATTTCTGTAGTAAATTTCCAGGTCACCGTGGAGAGCAGCCCCATCTCTCCAGTTTCAGGGGAGAACACCTTTTGTCACTGCTAAAATAGATTGATATGCCCCAGCTGGTTCGCATGACTGGCTGCCCCACCCTCAGGTATCTCTCTGGAAGGACAAATCCATCTCCACCTGACCTCCATTTTCCTGGCTGTCACCAGAGACCATCCCCAGGACCCAGGGGCCCATAAGATCATGCTATGAAGACAAGCCATCCCACTTCCCATTGTCACTAAGGTGACCAGCCCAGCTTCTACCTGTCACCTAGAGTCACATAGCCCTTCCTTCATCAGTCACACCTATGGAGATAGTGCCTCCCTCTGCTAGCTGTAACCCTGGATATCAAACATTCTCCATCTCACCAGCCCCCATCCCAGAGACCTACAAATTCACTTTAGTTGTCCTTACTCTGGCCAACAGCCATGGAGACCACCCTCCCCCCAAATGTCCAGAGAGTGAACCAACACTCAGGTCTCCAGCTCCTACCCTGAAACAGGCTGCCCTTGCCCTGACCGGTTTGGCTCACGATTAGAGCCTTGGCCTGTGGTCCAGAGAGACCCAGGTTCGGTTTCCGCTAAGGGCACATACCTAGGATGCAGTTTGTCCCCAGCCCCGGTTGGGTCATATGGGTGGCAGCCACTCGATGTGTCCCTTTCACATTGATGTTTCTCTCTCTCTTTCTCTTCTTCTCTCTCCCTCCCACTCTATCTGAACAAATAATGGAAAAAAAATGTCCTCGGGTGAGGATAAAAAAAAGAAAAAAAACGGGCTGCCGTTTCCCCAGGTCCACCCCAGCTCCTTGCCACCCTCCAAGTTCCACAGCTGTTGCCATGGAGATCATACTGGAGTCTGAGGTAACAGAACACCTGTCTTGTCACCATAGAGACTGTTAATGTCATCCCCATGACAACTGACCCCCGGCTCTCAGGAACTTCTCACCTTGGGTGTGAACTGCACCCTATAGGGCTTAATGGCTGCCCCTTCACCAGGTGGGCTCAGCCCCAGGCAGCATCCCCAGACAGGGCTGGACTTCTGGAGCTGCTGGAAACTTTCCAATTGCACGCTAACTAACTCCCAGATAGCAGCTGTGCACTACACACTTTTGGGACACCCAGATGTTTTCATTGCCTCTATACGGATGAGCAAACCAAGGCACTTGCATGCCTTGGCCCTTTGAGCTATGCAAGCACTGGACTCCCCTTTTCCTCTCTCAGACCCCATTCCCCATCCTCACTGAGCTCTTCTGTCCTTCCGTAACCACCTCCTCCCCTGTGTCCCTCCTTAGAGATCCAGGAGAGACAGGATGTTCTGGTTTTTTTTTAATCCTCACTGGAAGATATTTTTTCCATTTTATCTTCAGATAGAGTTGGAGGGGAAGAGAGAGAGGAAGAGAAACATCGACTCAAGAGAGATAGATCAATTGGCCACCTGCCACATGACCCCGACCAGGGTCATGGACTGAACTGCAACCGAGGTACTGCCCTTGACTGGAATCAAACCTGCGACTCTTTGATCTGAGGGCCGATGCCCCAACCACTGAACCAAACTGGCCAGGACAAGGGATAGAATATTATTCTTTTTTTCTTTAATCCTCACCCGAGGACATTTTTGCATTTATTTTCAGATAGAGCGGGAGGGAGGGGGGGAGATAGAGAAATGAGAGAAACATCCATGTGAGAGAGACACATTGAATGGTTGCCACCCACATGACCCCAACTGGGGCTGGGGACAAACTGCAACTGAGGTACGTGCCCTTAGCAGGAACTGAACCCAGGACTCTCTGGTCCGCAAGCTGATTCTCTAACCGCTGAGCCAAACTGACCAGGGAGAGATAGAATATTCTTAAACCTCAAAATCCACTCTGAACTCCAGGTTTGTGGGGTTTTTTAATCCTCACCTGAGGATATTTTTTCATTTATCTTCAGATAGAATGGGAAGGAGGGAGAGAGAGGAAGAGAGAAGGAGAAGAGAGACATCGATGTGAGAGGGACACATCAGCTGGTTGCCTCCCACACGACCCTGACCAGGTCTGGGGACAAATCGCAACCGAGGTACATGCCCTTGACTAGAATTGAACCCGCGACTCTTTGGTTCATGGGCCGGTTCTCCAACCATTGAGCCAAACTGACCAGGGCAAGACATAGAATATTCTTAAACTTCAAAATCCACTCTGAGCTCCAGGTTTTAAGGGGAAGTTTTAAAAAAAAAATATTGATTTTAGAGAGGAAGGGAGAGAGAGAGAAACGTGATCTGTTCTACTTATTTATGCGTTCATTGATTGATTCTTGTACATGCCCTGACTGGGGATCAAACCTGCAACCTTGGTGTATTGGGACAACACTCTAACCAACTGAACTACCAGCCAGGGCTTAAGGGGAGATTCTTGCTAAGAAGTCAGGATCCAGCTGCACTCCCCAGTGTAGAAAGCCACCCTGCCATGGGAAATCACAATGCCATGGTCTTGCCTGGAGTAGCACCAGGGACCCCCCTGGAGCCCTCTTTACTGTTCTATCTGTCTCGAGGAAACCCATCTGTGGGTTGGAAACCAGGTTGACTTGGGTTCTAATCTAGCCTGTGACTGACAAAACCCCTGAGCCTCTTTCTTTCTCTGTACCAGGGCTGTTCTAAGGTCCCAGTGAATACAAAGCATACAACAGGGGCTCAATAAAAAAATATTTTTTAATTTATTTTATTCATTTTTTTCTTTATTGATTTTTAGAGAGAGGAAGGGAGAAAGAGAGAGAAAGAGGTATGGCAACATCAATGAGAGAGAACATCGATTGTCCACCTCCTGCATGACCCACACTGGGGATCGGGCTCACAACCTGGGCATGTGCCCTGACTGGGAATCGATCTGGTGACCTCTTGATGCATGGGTTGACGCTCAACCACTGAGCCACACCAGCCAGGCAAGAAAAAAATTTTTTTAATGCAGTTTGGTGGACGAAATGTTTCCCACCATGGGATACTTCGCGATAATTCAGTCAGAAGTCTCTTCTCATTTCTCAGGACCATATCCCACTCTTTAACTTCCTCTCCCTTCACCCATCCTCCCTCCCCCACTTTTTTAAGCAACCCTTTATGAATCTGGCCCTACTCAGCTCTGTCCTGATTGGATCACTGACAAACCCAGTGGTTTCCCTCAATATCCAGGCACGAAGTGTGTGAAACTGGATGGGGAATTCCTCCTGCCCCAGGAAGGTAAAGAGGTTGCAGATTTTCCTGGAGTGTAGATGTGGTGGGGTGGGAGGAGTGTGAGCTGAGGAGTATTGGAAGTTTCTAGGATACAAACAAAGGGAGAAGAGAAAAAAGTGTTATTTGGTTGTAGAAGTGGGATGATTGATGTAACTGCTCATCCTTCAATACGAGACTTGACCAAACTTCCAGATGCAAATCGTTCCTCTGAATGAAGAACTCCTTGGTTAGACTGCCTTGGACTCCAGCTGGGCCTTGGTGTCCTCAAATAGGGGACTGATAAGGGACATGTTTCCAGAAATTTCTGCATGGGATTTCTTTTATCCTGCCTTTCCCCTGCAAGCATCCTTTCTCCCTTGCGCCTTTCCAGCTCCTTGGTTTCCGGTGAGTATGTAACTCCTCTCATAAAATAGGGAGGAACTGATTCCACTCCCTTCCAGCTCAGCCAATGAATAATGTGGCCCATTTCCATGGGCAGCCTTGATTGGTCCAGGGATAGACAGGGACCCATGCAGACCAATGAGATGTAGTCCCTGGGATTTTGGTGGATGATTGAGCAGAGAGAACCTTCCTTCTGCTAGGATCACTGTGCTGTTGGAATGGATGTCTCCAGAGTCTGTCAGGAGAACAGCTAAGGGATGACAAGTAGGATGGAACCCTCCCTGAAGGAAGCCAGGTACTCAGAAAAACCTCTCTTCCTCTTCTCTCCCAGTCCCTCTGTCCTCTACTACTCAATTTACTTCCCAGAGACATACAAAGTTTCTTGCCTGTCCCTACAGAGATGTTTTATGTTCAGACAAGTAAACATGCATATATGTTTCTTTTCCTCACTTTTACACAAATGATGGCAGCATATACTTTCTTATAAAATTCACTATTGTAAATGTTTTAAAGTGTTCATTCAGTGGCATTTAGCACATTTATAATGTTGTGCAACCACCTAGTTCCAAGACATTTTCATCACCCCAAAAGAAAACCTCACACCCATTAAGCAATTGTTCCCCATTCTTTTCAACCCCCATTGCCCTGGCAAATGCTAATCTGCTTTCTGCATCAATGGATTTGCCTATTGATATTTCATATAAATGGAATTGCACAATGTACATACTTTTCTGTCTGGCTTCTTTCACTTAGCATAATGTTTTTGAGGTTAATCCATGTTATAGCTTATGTTAGTGCTTCATTCGTTTTATGGATGAATAATATTCCATGGCATGTATATACCACATTTTGTCCATTCATTTATCAGTTGGTAGACATTTGGCAATTGTAAATAACACTGCTATGAACATTTGTGTACCATATGTACTTTAAAAGTAACTCTTCTTTTACTTAATAATGTATTTTTGAGATAGTTTCCATCAACATGTAAAGATTACCCCCCAACATTTTTTTTAAGGTTGGCAGAGTTTGCATTGTTTGGATGCACCATAATTTTTGTAGCCAGTCTCCTAATGGTGGTTACTTAGCTAGTTTTCCATATTATGATGTTAGTAATAAGCACCCACAAGTATAAGTATAACTGGAGGATGCTATCAATTGATTGATCAAGGGGTCAAAACTTGCCATTTTTCTTTAACTTATCTTTATTGTTGAATGTATTACAATATGTCCTCACTTCCCCTCCAATTGACCCCCTCCTCCCTACTCCCACCCCACTTCTGCCTTCCTCACACTATTTAAAACTTGCTATTTTGATAGTGATCTCCACCCCTTCTTAGAGGTGGGGCCAATTTACATCCCACCAGTAATAGATACACTTGCTGTTTCCACATGTTCTCACCAGTATTGTATTATCACTTTTGACCTTACCTTTGAAAAAAACGCGATAGAGTGAAGCCGCGAAAGTCGAAGCACAAAGTGGCAAGGTACGACCGTGTATAAATAAAGAATCCTACTTGGTGGAAATTCATTTATCGCAGTAGAATCTAGAACTGATTAATCGCTATAAATGAGGGCTGACTGTGTCTCACTGTAGTTGTCACTTGCAATTCTCTTATGTGTGAAGCTGAACATCCTCCACTTTGACCTTAGGTGAAGGTGATTGAGTAAATCATAAACCATTGTCAGCTTAGGTATATTGTCATCATTGATCTATGCAAGGCTTCCTCTCTCGGTATTTGTTTCTTCCTTTTTTAAAAACATGCTCTTCTTTGTTTATCTTGGTGTTCTTGCAAAACGTGTTTTATTTTGTTTAGCATATGTTGTAGTTTAAGAGCCATCTGTATTTCCTTTTCTGTGAATGTTTTGTTCATATCTTTTGCACATTTGGCTATTGGATTACTAGGGTGTTTTTTTTTCCTATTGATTTGTAGGAGCTCTTTATATATTAAGGCCAGAAATCCTTTGCCTCTGTTTGAAAATTGTTTCTAAGTTTGGCATTTGCCTTTTGATCTTGCTTACGGTATTTGTTGCCACTATTACTTTTAGAATAAAGACCCAACTCCTCACTACAGCCCATATGGCCTTGAACAGTCCATCTTTTGCCTCTCTGCCTTCATCTTCCTCCACTCTCTACCTCTGTCACTCTGCTCCAGTCACTATGGTCTCCTTGCTGTGTCTTGAATGAGCCATGTTCCCTTTTGCAAGAGGATTTTTGCCTTTGCTCTTCCCTCTGCCTGAAACTCTTCCTTTCTTTCCCTCGTCTAGTTAATGCACCTCCTCCTTTATTTGTTTGTTTGTTTGTTAATCCTCATCCAAGGATATTTTTCCATTGATTTTTAGAGAGAGTGAAAGGGAGGGAAGGAAATGGAGAGAGAAACATCAATGTGAGAGAGACATTGATTGGTTGCCTCCTGCATGACCCAAACTGGGGCTGGGGATCAAACCTGCAACCCAGATACATGCCCTTGATTGGGAATGGAACCTATGACCCTTTGGTCCATGGGCCGACAGTCTAACCATTGAGCCAAACCGGCCAGGGTACAACTCCTCCTTTAGATCCCAGCTGCCTCCCCTAGGAAGCCTTCCCTGATCACCTCCCAAGGACCATGTTGTCTTGTTCACCACTGTCTCCCCAGAACCCAGCTCATAATAGTTTCTCAGGAAGCACCTGCAGAGTGAATGAAGAAAGTCTCAGGAGGTGACAGGCATGTTGAACTGTTAAAAAGTTTTATTAAAATGTCCAAGAAGTACATTAATGTCTACAGTGCCAGATACCACAGACCCACGGAACACTGCAGCTCACAGTAAAACCAGTGGAACCCAAAGCTGTTCACACACACACACACACACACACACACGCATGCCACAAATGTGGCTCACACAAACACGCACATGTATCTCAAAGGAAAAGACCAAAAGACTAACCACCCACCTTAGAAAAGACCAGAGCCCCTCCCACCATGGAGCTGGAATAGGAAAAGGGCAAGGGGCCAGGGTAGAGAGCATAAACTAAGACCCCCCCCAAAAAAATTGCATCCCCAGCCCCCCCAACAAAGGAAAATTCTTTTGTGATATGGATGACTGAAGACATATATATATATATATATATATATATATATATATATATATATAGTTTGTTTGTTTGTTTAATCCTCACCCAAGGACACTTATTCCATTTTTTGTTCAGATAGAGTGGGAGGTAGAGCGAGAGAGAGCGAGAGAGAAACATCGATGTGAAAGGGACACATTGAGTGGTTGCCACCCGCACAACCCAACCAGGGTCGGGGACAAACTGCAACCGAGGTACGTGCCCTTAGCGGGAACTGAACCCAGGTCTCTCTGGACCGCAGGCTGACGCTCTAATAGCTGAGCCAAACCAGCCAGGGTGGTATTCTATTTTTTTAAACCAAGAATTATCAAAGCAAGAAGGCAAACCTATATCCTTGGGCTTTCTCAATAATAACCACATGGTGGAACAGTGGATAATGTCTATAGCAGGAATGACTGAAGACCATGGTCAAGGATGAAGGTCTAGTTTGCACTCCTCAATCTTTTTCTAAATCTGCCTGAGTGTGTTACAGGGACCACAATTATGCTTCAATCCCTTCTCCAAAGTAGAGAACAGTGTTTGGAGTCAGACAGAGACAGGACCAAATCCTTACTTCTGTCTTGGCTGTGACTCAAGCCAGTGCTTTTCTCTTATCTGAGCCTGGTTTGTCATGTGTAAAATGGAAACATTATGGTTCCTAAGTCAAGGGTTTGTTGAGAAGATTCAAGGAGATAGTGTGTAAGTTATTAGCGTGGTACCTACTCCAAAGTTGTCAACTATAATTATTACTTTCCAGGAGGGATGGATATAGGCTCAGTCATCACATTCCTTTCTCTACTGAACCCTTAGATGGACTGTATATTTACTTATATTTCTTTCCTGCAGAGTTATTCTCCACTGTGTTTTTTAACACTAATTCACAGATTTTTTACCCACACTGGAGGGGTTAAGAGTAGACAAAACATGAGGGAAAGCTGTGGATCTTTCCTCCTCGAGATCAGGGAGCTGGATCTATCTTTTCAGCTTGGAAAATCCTTTTACAGGTTGCAGATTTGAAGAAGGAAGGCCAGGTGAGTTTTTTCCCCACTTAAAATAACTTTTAAAAAACTATGAGAGAAAAATGTGTATTTCAGTTTTAACACTGCATCTCTCTACAACATGACTACAGGTAGATGTCACTGCTTCAGTTTTTTAAGCATTTCTAGTCTTCAGGCAATGGATGGAGACAGAGATGGGGTGGGGGTATGGGTGGGACCAGGGCAGAGCACTAACAATGTCTGCTTGGGGGATGGGTATGAGCACTGATCTAGAAAACTTGGCACCTCCTTGGTGCAGGAAGGAGGTTCTTCATCTCCCTGAGAGATGGAGGGGGAAGAAATCTGGGCTTATCAAGCCCTAAATATCCTCGTGTGTGTGTGTGTGTGTGTGTGTGTGTGTGTGTGTGTGTGTGTGTTTCACCACACATGCAAAACCACCAAATCTCAGCTCTCGTACTGGACCTGGGAGGATAAGCAATACACCTTCCCTTCACTGCCCACATATTGTCCTGACTATTCTGACCCCTATCTCAGGGCATGTAAGGAAGCCGTTCTAAAAACATCCCTAAAATTCAGTACATAGGAGTTCAACACTGTTATCCACCAAGACCAAAGACTGAACTTGGGTTCAAGTCCGAGGTAATGGAAGAGCAGTCGTCAAGTTCAAGCAGTGTGCTTCCATGCAGTTTTCTGCTCCCAAAGCCAGTGATCTTCACTAAAGGCTTCAGGCTGCATTTAGGACACCTGACAGTTTATGAAGCCTGAATCTCTGGTGTGAAAAGCAATTCCTTACTGCAAATCCAAACATACACGCTTGCACCCTTATCAAAGCCTTATTTCAACAACTGGCAATTAGCCTTGCCAACAAAAAACTAAACCAGTGCAGCAAAGAACAATCTTTGCCAATTGTGCTTCCTTCCATTGAGAAATTCTTCCAGAGTCCAGCCTGACTAGAACTGGATTTTCGGACACATGGCTGCACCTGCCAAGAGAACCTGTATATGTAAAAAAGAGGAGAGAGGAGCTTTTTACAAAGGATTATGGGGGTCGGATTTGGGGGTTAGGGGCTTCCGGACCCTCTTGCTTCCCTCTGGACTCTGTCTCCCCAGGCGAAGACTCCAAAGGAGGTGTGGGAAGTGTGTTGTGCTTTCTTTTGCCTGGTTCTTCAGCAGAAATTCCCTTCCTCCTTCTCCCAGTCCTCCGCTGGGTGTTTCTTGTGTTTTCTGCGCTCCTTGCGTGATTTGTGATGGCGATGTTGGTGGTGGTGTTGGTGGTGGTGATGGTGTCGCCGCATCCGATGGGACCTTCTGGCTGCAGGGAAGTGAAGAAAGACAGGGAAGTAGCAAAAAGTGGTGAGAGGCACTGGCCTGATGCAGGGGAATTCTCCAGGGGGAGGAGAAATGGAGGAAACACCAGGCAAGCTGGTAAGTTCTCACTTATCTGCAAGGCTGTATTATCAGGCAGACATTTAGTCAAATCAATGTATATAGTCATAAGATTTTTAAAAAATAATTTTTTCCCCCTGGCTGGTTTGGCTCAGCAGTAGAGCATCGGCCCATGGACCAATGAGTCACGGGTTCGATTCTGGCCAAGGGCACGTACCTCGGTTGTGGTTTGTTTCTGGCCCTGGTCGGGGTTGTGTGGGAGGCAACCAGTCGATGTGTCCCTCTTGTGTTGATGTTTCTCTCTCCCTTTCTCTCTTTCCCACTCTGTCTGAAGATAAAAAGAAAAATATCCTCAGGTGAGGATAAAAAAAATAATAATAATACTTTTTCTTTACTGACTTTAGAGAGAAAGGAAGGGAGAGGGAGAGAGATAGAGACATCGATGAGAGAACATTGATTGGCTGCCTCCTGCATGCCCCCCTCTGGGGATCAGGCCCACAACCTCGACATGTGCCCTGACCGGGAATCGAACGGGAGACCTCTTAGTGCATGGGCTGATGCTCAACCACTGAGCCACATTGGCCGGGCTATAAGATTTATTTTTTAATTCTCACTTGAGGATATTTTTCTATTTATCTTCAGATAGAGTAGGGAGGGAAAGAGAGGAGAGAGATGTGAGACGGAGACACTGACTGGTTGCCTCCTGCATGACCCTGACCAGGGCCAGGGACAAATGGCAACCGAGGTACGTGTCCTTGAATGCAATCAAACCAGTGACTCATTGATCTGCGGGCCGATGCTCTAACCACTGAGCAGAACTGGCCAGGGCTGGGCTATAAGATGTTTTAATTGGAGACTAAATAGCTGGAAATGTGTTGAGTTGTCTGGGGGCAGCTACTTACGTTTGGTACAGATGATTTGGGGCCGGTCCCACTTGCCATTACTCTGGCACCGGATGATGGACATGTGGTGCTGGACAAATCCTTCGTCACACTGGTAGCGTATAGTGGCATGAACATTATACTTGGCCTTGCGGGCACCAATGAGCGAAGCTTTCTCCACTACTGGAGGGGGACCACACAGCACTGGGGACGGAGGACACTCCAGTTAGGAAAGTGGTCACCACAGGGGCTGAACTGGTTTCCTCTCTTGTTAGGAATGACACACCTATCCAGGTCCTGCCCTTTGCCCAGCTATGACCTCACAGAGCTAGAAGTGAATGTGTCTGTCTCCTCAGACCAGACCAGGAGCCCCTTATAGGCAGGAACTTCCTGGATACATCCCACCCCCTAATTCTTTTTTTTTTTTTTATCCTCACCTGAGGACATTTTTCCATTTTTTGTTCATATAGAGTGGGAGGGAGAGAGAGAGAGAGAAACATCGACGTGAAAGGGACACATCAAGTGGCTGCCACCCACACGACCAACCAGGGCCAGGGACAAACTGCAACCAAGGTATGTGCCCTTAGCAGGAACCATAGGCTGATGCTCTAACCACTAAGCAAAACCGGCCAGGGCCCACCCCCTAATTCTTATGCATGACAGGAATGAAGGAGATAGAAAGTAAGAATAATTTGAGCAAATAAAAGGAAGTAAGCATCTGAGAATTTACAAAGAAACAGGAAGCAAGAATGAACAAAAGTATAAGAGAAAGGTGGTCACAAGAGTGCATGTAAATGTTTCCTTAATATGTAAAGAACTCTTACTAGTCAGTAAGACAAACAAGCTAATAGAAAATTAGGAAAAGGGGATGAATAGGCAGGTCAAAGGAAAATAAATTACATATAAATAGCCTATCAACATATGAATAGCTGGTCATTCTTATCCTTGAAGATGTACAAACTACAATAACATTGAGATACTATTTTCTCATCACTTAGATGAACAAAGAACAAAAAGTTTAAGAATGCGTTGAGTTGGCAAGGGTGAAAAAAATGGACATTCTCATACAGTGCTGGAGAGTGTAAATTGGGCAAAGCTGACTCTTCATTTACACACTTAAAAAAAAACATGAACCCGTGAATGTTAGCCACAGGAGGGAAATGGAGGTTGGCAGCATACCTGTGCCCTTCTTACAGACATAGGGAAGGTTGTAGTTGCAGGGAACGTCGTTCCAGCGTCCACTCTCATGTGCCACCATCACCACACAATCCTCCCCGCCCGCGAAGAAATTGTCTGGCTGGTTCTCTCGCCAGTTCTCATATTGCTGCAGAAATGTGGAGCAAGGGGTGCTCAGGAAACGGGTGTCCTGACCCAGAGTCTGGCATTATTCACTGTGGGGCTCCCCTGACCAAACCACTCAAACTCTTAGGAACTCAATGTTTCTATCTCTATAATGGGCACTGTTCTGCCTGCCCGGGGGATGGCTGTCAGTGCAATTTGAGTCACCCCTCCTCTGGCTGGGAGGCTGCAGTATCCTTGTCCCTTATGTCTCTGCCTCCTGTCTTGCTTCCTGATAGTCTGTTTCCAATATGAGTCACTCACTGTTAGAAAAATAGTTGAACAAAACGTGACTTCAGCCTGGAAGTCCACGAGGGTTTCCTTGAAGGGGCAACAGGAGAGATGATAACTCAAGGTAGAGAATGATGCAGGCAGAGAACAAGCAGAGAAAACAGCTAATGCAAAGGCCCAGAGGCAGGACTGAGCTTGACCAGTTTGAGGAATGGAATAGAGGCTAGTGGAGTTGAAGATGCTTGATGGAGTTTGGGTGTGGTCAGAGTGTGGGAAGGGGCCAGTTCCTGTGGTAGAAGAGAGGAGGTGGATTCTTTTTCAATTATGGTAAAATACATATAACAGAATTTACCATTTTAATAATTTTTTTAAATTTCTCACCTGAGGATATTTCTCTACTTATTATCAGATAGAGTGGGAGGGAGAGAGAGAGACAAAGAGAAACATCGATGTGATAGAGCTACATGGACTGGTTGCCTCCCGCACCACCCAACTAGGGCCAGGGACAAGCTGCAACCGAGGTACATGCTCTTGACCAGGATCGCACCCGCAACTCATTGGTCTGTGGACCGACACTCTAACCGCTGAGCCAAACCGGTCAGGGCCATTTTAATAATTTTTATGTGTCCAGTTCATTGGTATTAATTAGATCCACAAAGTTGTACAACCATCATCACTGTCTGTTGCCAGAACTTTTTCATCACACCAAACAGAAACTCTGTCTCTGTTAGCTGTAACTCCCCATCTCCCCTCCCCAGCCCCTGGCAAACACAAATCCACTTTCTGTCTATATGGATTTGCCTGTTCTGGACATTTCATATAAATGGGATCATACAATATGTGTCTTTTTATGTCTGGCTTCTTTCTTAAATCACCCATTTTTTAAAATTGATTTTGAGAGAGAAACATCAATCAGTTGTTCCATTTATTTATACATTCATTGGTTGATTCTTTTTTCCCCCACTATTTATTTATTTATTTATTTATTTATTTCCGTTTTGTGTTCAGATAGAGTGGGAGGGAGAGAGAGGAAGAGAGAGAGAGAGAGAGAGAAACATCAACGTGAAAGGGACACATCGAGTGGCTGCCACACGCATAACCAACCAGGGCTGGGTTCTAACTGCAACCGAGGTACATGCCCTTAGCGGGAACCAAACCCAGGACTCTCTGGACCGCAGGCTGACCCTCTAACCACTGAGCCAAACCGGCCAGGGCCCACTTTTTATTATTTAATCCTCACCTGGGGATTTTTTTTTTATCCTCACCCAAGGACATTTTTCCATTTTTTTGTTCAGATAGAGTGGGAGGGAGAGAGAGGAAGAGAGAGAGAGAGAGAGACATTGACGTGAAAGAGACACATCAAGTGGTTGCCACCCACACGACCCAACCATGGCCGGGGACAAACTGCAACCGAGGTACGTGCCCTTAGCGGGAACCGAACCCGGGTCTCTCTGGACCGCAGGCCGACGCTCCAACCGCTGAGCCAACCGGCCAGGGCTCACCTGAGGATTTTTTTCTATTTATCTTCAGATAGAGTGAAAGGGAGGGAGGGAGGGAGAGAGAGACAAACATTGATGTGAGAGAGACACATGGATTGGTTGCCTCCTGCATGACCTGGACCAGGGCTGGGGATGAACCACAACCGAGGTACATGCCTTTGGTCGGAACTGAACCCATAACTCATTGGTCCACAGGCCAACGCTCTACTGCTGAGCCAAACCAGCCAGGACTCATTGGTTTATTCTTGTATGTGCCCTGACCGGAGATCAAACTGGCAACCTCGGTGTGTCGGAACAACTCTAACCAACGGAGCTACACAGCCAGGCTTCTTTCACTGAACATCAAGTTTTATCCATACTGTAGTGTGTGTCAGCGCTTTATTTCTTTTTCACTGTAGTTATTGTTTGATTGGATCACAGTTTGTGTATGTGTTCATCTGTTGATGAACATTTGGGTTGTTCCTTTTGGTAATTATTCCTAGTGCTGCTGTGAACATGTGTGCACCAGTATCTGAATCCCTGTTTTCACTTCTTTTGGTCACATACTTAGGAATGGAATTGCTGGGTCATGTGCTAATTTTATGTTTAATGTTTTGAGGAACTGCCAAACTGTTTTGCATAGCATAAAGAGGGGGGTCTTTATCTTGAGAACTGTGGGGTGTCTGACAGGGCTTGAAGCAGGGAGACTCTTGATCTGATGTATAGTTTTTTGTTTTTGTTTTTTTAATCCTCACCCAAAGATATTTTCCCATTTTATCTTCAGATAGAGTGGGAGGGGGGGAGAGAGAAAGAGAAACATCAATGTGAGAGAGACACATGGATTGGTTGCCTCTCGCATGACCCCTACCAGGGCCAGAAACCAAATTGCAACCAAGGTACGTGCCCTTGACCAGAATCAAACCTGTGACTCTTTGGTCTGTGGGCCAGCGCTCACACCGCTGAGCCAAACTGGCCAGGGCTGATGTATAGTTTTTAAAAGGTCTCATGCACAGGGTTTTCCTTCAGGGTGTTGAAAAAATTCTGGAACTAAGTAGAGATGGTGGTTGCACAATGTTGTGAATATACTAAATACCACCGAATTATACTTCAAAATGATTAATTTATATTATGTTAATTTCACCTCAATTTTTAAAAGTCCCCATGGCCGTCAGGTAGAGGGGCAGGAGTGTCGGTAGAAGTGTGTGTGTGTGACTGTGAGGGATGCTGCAGGGGTCCCAGTGAGGGATAACATAGGCTGAGCAAGCAGGGGCATGTAGGGAAATGAGAGTATTTTAGAGCCTATGGCTGGAGGAGCAGGCAGTGCGAGCAAAGGAATCATCCCTAGTCCAGGGTTTTTAGCATCAGTCACTAGGTGGATGGGCCCTGTACAGGACTAGGAAGTTGGTTGCTTTGGGGCTTCGCTGAAGCTTACTTGCCACTCCAGACCTCTGATAGTTAGTTTGCATAAGAGGGTAAAGTGAGGCCAGAGCCTAGGACCATGGGGCTCACCCTTATCTCTCTGTTCTAGATGAGACCCAAGTCAACAGCCTGGTAGCAGAGACCCAAGTTCCCACCACTCACCAGCCCTGTGTTGTCAGTCCACTGGAAATCCCTCTCCACGATCCTGTCGTTGAGGCCAATCCACGTGTTTTCACGTCCAAAGCCTGCAGGGTGGGGGAGTCTTCAGGGCTGGGCACCTGCCTCTCCCCAGTGCCTAGCCAGCTAGAGGTGGGGTGGAAGGTGGGAGAGGAAGACCCAGCCCCTTTCCCAGCCTGGAGGTGGGCTGGAGGGGAAAAGGAATGGAGGTGGAAGGATGGAGGTGGGGTAGGAGCTAAAGGCAAGAGGGGTGCCGGAGGACCCCAGACTCTCCCTCAGCCCTGGCACAGGCTGGAGGCCAGGTCCCCCATTCCCCAGCAGGCTGGGGCTTTGGCTGCTCTCTAACCTGGGGGGTGGAGGTGGGGCATAGAAAGGGCTGTTACTGTGGCCGGCCTTGCCACAATTTGTGGCTTAAACATATGGCCAGAGTAAGGAATAAACAAAGACATCAGATCTTTTCAGAAATGAGAGTAAGGGACAGGAGAGTCCACAGGTAGCTCTAGACAGGGCCGTGTTGAGACCCAGTGAACCAGTTAGTCACTGAAGACAGAGGAAGTAGAGGAGGATGTTTGATTGCAGCTAGGAAAAAGAAACGAGGGACCCAGAGAATGAACAAATAAAAGAACTAGGGGATAGAGGTAGGGGTTGGGGGATGGGATGGGGCGGTGGGGTAGTGGCCACCCCCAGGACTGTGCTCCTCCAGGAGTCACAGATGAGACCATCACTGAGACTGGTCAGATGCTTCTGAGCAGGGGCCCCTGGAGACTGCAACTGCCCATTGAGATGGAGGACAGTGTCCTGAGATGTTTCTGAGGACAGTTCCCACCCATGTATATTTCCCCAATAAAGCCTTTAAAAAAAAAGAAAGAAAGAAAGAATTAGGGGATGGGATGAGGAAAATGTGAATAAATGGATGGATGAACAGACAGCAGAAGGGATAATGAATGAATCAATAAATGCTAGATTTAATTAATGCAAGACTTTTCCTAGGTCTTTGCATAGCTTCTTCCTCATTTTATCCCACACATCACAGATACTTCCCCATCACCCTCTATCCCCTGGCCATTTTATTTGTCATCAGCATACTTAGGGCCAGCTAAATTATAGTATAGATTTATTTAATTAGATATTTACTTGTTTGCCAATGTCCCCAACAAGAATGTTATTCCCTTAGGACAGGACAATGTGCATCTTGCTCACTGCTGTGTCCCAGGTGCCTGGAATGGTGCCTGGCACACAGCAAATGTACAGTAAATATATGATGAATGAATGAATGAATGAAGTGAATATATGAATTAACAAATGAATAAACAGACATGGAAATTATTAAGTGACCAGGGCTTGCACTAATGAACACAGCTCCAGAAAGGTGGTGTCTTAAGGAGCCCGGGGACTTCCCTGGCAAAAAAAATGCAGGACCACCCCTGCCCATCCCAAAGTCCCTACTGTTAATGAAGCTGTGTTCCTCAGGTGAGTGGACGCTGGTCAGGTGGCCAGCTCGGCGGCGGCAGTCCCTCTCAGCATCCTCCCACACCCGCCGATGAGCAAAGTACCGGTAGCAGTGGCCCTGGAACTTGTGCCAGCCTCGGTCACAGCCCTCTGTGTCTGGGAAGTAGGAAGGGAGTATGAGGGGGCTGGTCTTTCCTAGAGGACTGTTCTGCTGGCCATGAGCACAACCAATCCACAGAGAGAGGGCCTATCCAAGGTCACTGTGGGGCTATGTCATCCCTTTCCCTGGTTCCAACACCCTCCCCCTGAGGCTCTGCCCCCTTTTCACCTCCCTGTCCCATATTCACTTCTTTGTTGCTGGAAGAGATTCAACTGGAATATTGAATCCCCTCTTGTCCCACTTCTGATGTATCCTCTGATCTGCAAGACCACACCCTCAGTGTGGACCTGGGAACTCAGGAAATGGTCTCAGAAAGACCTAAAATTTCCCTCCTGGCAAAGGGCTCTAATAAATATTTCTCTCAAAAAGATCACCAAGAAGCACATGAAAAGATCATTAGTCATTAGGAAATGTAAATCAAAACCACAATGACATAACAGCTCACACCACTAGGATGGCTAATAATTTTCAAAAAGGAAAATAACAAGTGCTAATGAGGATGTGGAGAAATCAAAACCCTGTAAACTGCTGGTGGGAATGTAAAATAGGTGGCCACTGTCGAAAACAGTCTTATGATTGCTCAAACAGTTAAACGTAGAATTACCATGACTCAACCATTCTACTTTTAGTTATAAACCAAAAGGAATGGGGGTGAAGGAAGAACAGAAAACAGGTGTTCTGCCTTGGCTGGGTGGCTTAGTTGGTTGGGCATTGTCCCATACACCAAAAGGTTACCAGTTCGATTCTGAACCTGTCAGGGCACATGCCTGGGTTGCGAGCTAGATCCCCAGTGCAGGAGGCCGCCATCTGATGTTGTGTCTCTCTCTCCTCCTCTCCCTTCATCTCTCTCAAATCAATAAAAATGTTTTTTATCTTTTTTTTTTTTTTTTATCCTCACCCGAGGACATTTTTCCATTTTTTGTTCAGATAGAGCGGGAGGGAGAGAGAGGAAGAGAGAGAGAGAGAAACATCGATGTGAAGGGACACATCGAGTGGCTGCCACCCTCACGACCAACCAGGGCCGGGGACAATCTGCAACCGAGGTACGTGCCCTTAGCGGGAACCGAACCGGCCGACGCTCCAACCGCTGAGCCAAACCGGCCAGGGCAATAAAAATGTTTTATAAAAAAGAAAACAGGTGTTCAAACAAAAACTTGTACATGAATGTTCCTAGCAGTACTATTTATATTAGCCTCAAGGGAAAAGCAACCCAAATATCCCATCAAGTGAAGAACTGATAAGCAAAATTCAGTCCATCCATACCATGAATATTATTCAGCCACAAAAAAGAATGAAGCACTGACATATGCTACAATGTGGATTAACCTCAAAAACATGACACTGAGTAAAAGAAGCCAGACACAAAAGGACACATAATGTGTGATTCCATTTACATGAAATGTCCAGAATAGGCAGATCCACAGAGACAGAAAACAGATTAGTGGTTTCCAGGGTTGGGCAGATGGCGAATGAAGAGTAACTAGTAAGGGGGAAGGGGTCTTCTTTTAGAATGATGGAAATATCTTGGAACTTGCTAGAGGTGGTGGCTGCAAAACATTGTAAATGTATTGAATTCCTTTTGAACTGTATACTCTAAAAAGGTTAATTCTATGTTATGTGGATTTTATCTCAAAAACAATAACTTGCCTCCTGTTGGACTCACAGCCACAGAACCAAAGATGGAGATCTGTGGCCTGCACCCACACCCCCTCCTGTTTCTGAGGTCTCAGCAAAGACTCACCTTTCTCACAGAGGCTGCCCCCATAGCTTGGGAGGCAAAGGCAGATGAAGGTGTTGACTTCATCGATGCAGGTACCTCCATTCTCACAGGGGCTGGAGACACAGTCGTCGATGTCTGGAGGGGAGAGGGAGGGGTTGAGTCAGAGGTCCCCAGTCCTCACAGGAAACCAGGCAGAAGATGGGGTCATGATCCTACCATCTATCCTGGACCTAAGTACAGGAGCAGTGGTCTACATAAATGGCTTGATGCCTCTGGAGGTCAAGAGGGTGGAGCCTCACATGATTAACATAGTTTTAATGAGAGCAGATGCCAGTGGGCTGGCTGGGGGCCAGGGTGTGCTGAGCATTCCACCTGATTCCAGAACCATGAAGGTTATATTCTTGCCAACTGTACCAGAGAATGTCAAAACTGCAGGGTCTTTGTGGAATGTGGAACCTAGGGGAACTGGGTTCCAGAGTATTTGCAAGGACTTGCAGAGAGTCACAAAGCTGTTTGTAGAGACAGGTATCCAGTTGAACTTCCTCTTCTACTACCCCTGTGTAGACAGTGCTTGAGGCATGTATGATATCAGGCAAGTCACATCCACTCTCTTAAACTCAGTTACTTTTCTTTTTTTGCAAAGTTTTATCAATAATAGCACCTCCTCGCCCTGGCCAGTTTGGCTCAGCGGTTGAGCATCGGCCTGCAGACCAGAGAGCCTCAGGTTCGGTTCCCGCTAAGGGCATGTACCACAAACAAACAAACAAACAAAATAATAGTACCTCCTCAAGGGTGGTTATGAGTGGAGAGTCAATGGAAGAGCTCAAGAGTTTATGTCATTTATATTTACTGTTATATTTCTATAATTAGTGTAGTTGTGAAGGTTGTGAAATTGAGGAGATGATGCACAGAGCTCAAGAAACTGTATTATTATTACTATTATTATTATTAGCATTTATCTTCAGATAGAGCAGGAGGGAGGGAGGAAGAGAGAGAGAAACATCGATGTGAGAGAGACACATCAAGTGGCTGCCACCCACACAACCCCAACCAGGGCCAGGGACAAACTGCAACTGAGGTACATGCCCTTAGCGGGAACAGAACCTGGGTCTCTCTGGTCCTTGGGCTGACGCTCTAACCCCTGAGCCAACCGGCCAGGGCAAGAAATTGTATTATTTATATTTATTGTTATAATTTCATAATTTGTCATATTTCTTGTGTTGAGATTTGGGGCTATTATGTTGGTGGTACATATACCCCTACCCACCCAGGAGAAGGCAGGACTCTTTGAAGACTTTGACTGGAAGGAGTCTGAGCCTTATCATCCCTTTGTCTTCTCCTTCCTTACTCCTGCCTGGTAGTAATGGGATGCAGCACACCAGCCCCCCAGCCCCCAGGATGAGAACTCATCTGGCTGGTCCTGAGGCTGACTTACTGGATCCAAGGAGTGGGGAAGGAAAGGGAGCACCTGAAGCCAACATTTTGTGAACTCTAAGTTCTCATGGGGATGGCCACTGGGATAAACAAACCCCAGGGCTCTGGAGTCAGACAAATTTAGGTTCAGATCCCAAGTCCAGGGCACTTACCGATCTCACAGTTCTCCCCAGCAAAACCCTGGTCACAGCTACAGCCATATATGGTGCCATTGGCTCTACAGGTGCCCCCATGCAGGCAAGGGTTGTTCTCGCAGGGATCCGAGGGGACTGCAGGATGGACAAGCAGTTCAGGGAGCAGTCAGGCCACCAGATCTGCCCTCCTAGAATCCAGACCACAGGAACCCAAGGCCCTCTGGATCAATCCCTCTCTGTGGAGTTCACTCTATAACTTCCCCATAGGTAGTCACCACCTTCCTTTCATATGCCCCTGTGACAAGCTTACTCCTTCCAGAAACTGCCCCTACAGTATATGTGGGCTGCCTTGCCTGTGACAAAGTCCTTTCTCTGACTATACTGGAAGGGGCTTCCCAAAGCTTCTCTTAAAAAGTCATCTTTTAGAACATGGATTTAAGTGCCCTCCCTGACACGTCCCTCTTTGGACATACACTGCTGGTCGTTGTATTTCTCATAATCTGCAGCACAGAAGTGGACACAAGGTTCCAGATCAGATGGTGGGGTATGGCAGCACTAAGAGGAGTGAGAACCATCATTTCCTTCATTTGGGCTCAATTTCTTTTCAATTTCAGTCATTACATTGAGGAGAGGTGGTAGATTATAGTGGTTATAACAAAAGGCTCTGGAGTCAGAGAGTTCAGTTCAATCCCTGGCTGTACCCCTCACTAGGGGACCCTAGGCAAATTACTTCTCTGAATTTTAGTTGCCTCATCTACAAAATAGAAATAAAAATCAAAATAGTTTACCTCTCTCTCAGTCCTCACCATAATGCCATATCTGGCTCTGTGTATATTAGCCTGGGGCTTCTTGATGGGTCTCAGCATTGGTCAGTATACATCAGGCATCCAGAGTACATTTAGGAATGTAGGTCCTCTCCTCCTCCCCAACCATTTCCCCAGTCAGCTGGGTTTCCTTGGAAGAAGGAGGATCTCCCTTCCCCATCTTGGGGGCCTAGATGCCTTAGTGGGTGTTCTCCACCCTGAAGCCCGGGAGAGGCAGATCAAGAACCTCCATCCTACCCCAGCTGACCCCCTTCCCTTGTCAAGGCAGCATCCAACACTTCCACTACACAGACACTAGAACTGAGGCCCAGAAAAGGGAAGAGCCTGGCTCAATACCACACAGAGGGACAACATAAGAGCCAAAACAGACTTCCAAGGCTCCAGTAGCCCAGTTTAAGGCCCTCTTTCCAGGCCCTATAACCTAGAATTTGTTCTGTTTTGAGCTTGTCTAGAGCCTCACAAGAAACTGAGGTGGTAACAAGCTGTCATCAATTCCCAGGTCTCCTGACCTCCACCTTCACCCTCCACAGGCTGTTCTCCCCATAGCTGCCAAAGGGAGCCTATGTAAACCTGAGTCAGGTCATGTCCCTCCTCTGCCTAGATCCTTCGATGGCTCCCCATTGCCCTCAGGGGGCAAAGTCCTCACTGTGACCCACAGAGCTCTGTGAGATCTGCCCAACATCTCCCTGCCCTACCCCTACCTCTTGCTCTCTCACTTGCTCACTCTGCTCCAGCCACACTGACCTTGCTGTTCTTACATGTCAGGCAGAGTTCTGCCTCAGAGCCTTTGCACAGACTGTTTGCTTTGCCTGGAACAGCATTTTCCCAGATCTCTGCATAGCTCCTCCATCACTTCCTTAGGCTTGCTCAAATTTCATCTGGTTAGAGAGGCCTTTCTGATTCCCCTTCCTGAACCAGAAGCTACGCACTGGCATCCCCCACCCCTTGCTTCACTTGTCTCTTTGCCTGATCGCTTTCTAACCTCCATATAATTTAGTTATTTATTAAGATTACTGTTATGTGTTTGTGCTTCCCTTCAGAGCAGTGATGTTCCACATGGCAGCCAAATATAGCTATTTAAGTCTAAATTAATTAAAAGTGAATAAAAGTACAAATGTAGTTCCTTAGTCTCACTAGCCACTTTCAAGGGCTCAGTAGTTATGTGTGGTGGCTGGTTGCTACTGTATTAGACAGCATAGCTCCAGAACATTTCCATCATTAGGAAAGTTCTAGAGTGCTGCTCTAGAATGTCAGCTTCCAGAGGACAAGGGACTTGGTCTTAACATGGGACCTGGAACACAGCCAGCACTCAATAACTGCTTGCTAACTGTATGAGGTAGCTGCTGGCATTCCTGCAGGGACAGAGGCCAGTCTTTGGGTTGGTGGCATGTGCCCCCATGGATTGCCAGAGGGGCCTGTGGCTGTGTCTGTCCCTAGTGCCACCCCAGCACGTTTGTGCACATGCATGGGACTACTGGGCATGGGAAGACATGAGCCCTGCCAGGTGACCCAAACTGCTGACAGCTGCCCACAGACTGGCGGTGACTGGCGGTGACTGAGTCACTCCCTGGCGCTGCATTTATTTTGGGCTTCATTAGCATTTCTGCAGCAAGTATGGAGTGGGTAGGCATCCAGGTCTCTCCTTCCATTCTCCCTCTCTCTCTCTCACACACACACACACACACACACACACACACACACACACACACAGTGCTGCCTGCCTCTCTCCAACCCTACTGCCACTGGCTTCAGTCTGGAACCAAGATTCCAACAAAGTCCCAAGCAGACCCAGCCATAGCCCTGGTTGACCCTCCAAATGCACCTTCCTTTGCACCTCTCTGCACGGTCTCCCTCTCATCTCTCTGACTCCCCTTCTCTAGCTCCTTGGCATTGAGCCTCTTTCCTAATGCACATCCTCTATAGCTAGTCTCTTCTCTGCTCCTCCAGGGCAAGCTCCTCCCAAGACCTCAGGGGTTTTTTGTTTGTTTGTTTTGTTTTTTTATCCTCACCCAAGGACATTTTTTGATTTTTTGTTCAGATAGAGTGGGGAGGGAGAGAGAGACAGAGAAACATCGACATGAAAGGGACACGTCGAGTGGTTGCCACCTGCATGACCCAACCAGGGCCGGGGACAAACTGCAACTGAGGTACATGCCCTTAGCGGGAACCGAACCCGGGTCTCTCTGGACCGCAGGCTGACGCCCTACCGCTGAGCCAAACCGGCCAGGGGGACCTCAGGGTTTTTTGTTTGTTTGTTTTAATCCTCATCAGAGGATATTTTTCTATTTAGCATCAGATAGAGTGGGAGGGAGGGAGAGAGAGAAACATTGACGTGAGAGAAACAACCAATTGGTTGCATGACCCAACCAGGGCTGGGACTAATGACAAACACAACTGAAATATGTGACCTTGACTGGAATCAAACCTACAACTCATTGGTCTGTGGGCCAATGCTCCAACCGCTGAGCCAAACCAGCCAGGGCAACCTCAGGTTTTTTTTGTACACCAATGAATACTTGTTGTATAGCCTAGTGATTGAAACAGAGACCGTGTTGTTAGTTGACCTGGATTCAAATCTTATCCTTGACAGTTCCAGCTGCATGACTCTGAACAAGTCACTTGACCTCCCTATGCTTCAATCTCCCCATCCTAAAGTGAGGATCACACTAGAACTTGTTTCACAAGGACATTATAAGGATTAACTAAGATGATTCCAGTAAAGTGATCACATAAGCCAAGTACATGGGCATTCACCAATAAGCATCAGCATTTATCAATTCATGTGTCCATGTCCAGTGTCTGCCTGCTGCCTGAGCATCTAAGAAAAGAAAATCTAGCCTGGGACACAGCCCAGAGATGACAGGGTGGGTGACAAAACCCTCAACTACTATTTCCATCACAAACACTTTGCCTTCAAAGAAGGGAGCGAGTGTAAAACCAATTGTGTTATTAAGTGTTTTGTGCCCTGATAGGTGTTGCTCAGTGGTTAGAGTGTCAGCCCTTGAATTGAGGGTCAAGGGCATGTACATAGGTTGCAGGTTTAATCCCCAAGTGTGGAAGGCAGCCAATCAATGTGTCTCTCGCACATTAATGTTCCTCCCCCGCCACTCTCTCTAAAAAAAATCAATGGAAAAAAAATATCCTTGTGTGAGGATTAATAAAAATCAATGGAGCCTGGCCCATGTGGCTCAGTGGTTGAGCAATGACCAATGCACCAAGAGGTCACTGGTTTGATGCCTGGTGAGTGCACATGCCCAGGTTGTGGGATGTGCAGGAGGCAGCCAATTGATGTTTTTCTCTCATTGATGTTTCTCTCTCTCTCTCCCTCTTCCTTCTTTTCTCTAAAAATCAATAAAAATATATTTTAAAAAATAAAAATAAAATCAAATAAAAATAAATCAATGGTGCCCTGGCCAATTTGGCTCAGCGGTTAGAACGTCGGCCTGCGGGGAGAGACCCGGGTTCGGTTCCCGCTAAGGGCACGTACCTTGACTGCAGTTTGTCCCCGGCCCTGGTTGGGTCATGCGGGTGGCGGCCACTCGATGTGTCCCTTTCACGTTGATGTTTCTCTCTCTTCCTCTCTCTCCCTCCTGCTCTATCTGAATAAAAAGTGGAAAAATGTCCTCGGGTGAGGATAAAAAAAATCAATCAATGGAAAATATCCTCAGGTGAGGATTAACAACAACAAAAAGAGTGTTTTGCAACTCAGAAGAAGTGCCCTTCAATTAGATGCTGATATTTTTTTAAAGCTCACCTGACCAAAAAAAAAAACCAGCTCAAAATTCAGGACCTAAAAAAGGTGAGCTTCAGGCAGACTTGGCTCCAGGAGAACAGGGTAGTGGCTTTTTTTAGGTTCTTCTGGGCAAACAGCAGCTAAAGCTTATGCAGACTTAGGCTCCCACTGAAGTCTGACCACTGACTGGCTGGTAGTGACATTTCTCCCTGAGCTCAGTTTGCTGTCTATAATGGGGGTTATGACCCCCACTCCCACTCTTCCCAGTGCCCACTTTTTCTATGGCTCAAGGTCCCCCACAAACCGCACCACTGAACTCCAGCTGCGATTCCCACTATGCCTCCTCCATCTGGCCCCACCTGGGGGGGTACCTGTATCGAGCTCTATCTTCCCCAAACTGGGGTATCACTTAAGTCCAGCTCCCAACATTGCACAGTACTGTCTAGCTCCGTATGGCCGTGAACATGAGTTGCTAATTGAACCAAATTAACTCCATGCAATGCCTTAACATTTTCCCATCACTCGCTGTACCTCAGAACACATCAACTTAATCTCCTGCCTTTGTCCAGGCTGGTGCCTCTGCCAGGAATACCATTTCTGAAATTCAGTTCACCTGATAAGTTCCCACCTCCAATGTCATTCCCTGTTAGAAACCTTCCCAGGCTCCCAGGAACAACCGTTTTTCTCTACTCTGAGCTCCCCTGGTCCCCAAGCCCTGACCACAGTGGGCTGGATGAGGCCACAAACTTTGAACTCACTCTGCTCTGCACTCCCATTTGCAGGGGCCCCTGGCAGGGCCGGCTCCTCTCCACTTGCTGTCTCCTCCACACTGGTACTCCCTGCAAGGACCTCCAGCTCAAACTTGTCCAGGACCCGAGGGGCAGACAGCAGGGTGCTGGGGGAGTCCCATGGCACTGTTGGCTTCCCTGAGGACACTGACACAGGCTTGTCCATGCTGGCTGCTGTAGGTGTCCAAGGAGGAAGAGTGGGATCCCCCAGGGGGCTGCCCTCATGTGGAGGGGCTAAGGCTCCCAGTGTTCCCTGGGTCACCATCTGGCCTTCCTGCTCTGGGTGGGATTGGGAGCTGGAGAAGTACATTATGGACGTGGCCAGGACCCCACCCTTGTCCCCCTGGTCCAGGGACATGAGGGACGTCACCACATTTTTATCCACAGCCACTTGAGGCCTCACGGTGGGGCTTTCAGCTCTTTCAACCATGTGGGATCCAACTTCCCAAATCCTACCAGCACCACTGGGGTCCACTGTGGCTGTGGAATCCATGGGACCCACTGTACCTCCTTCATCTGTAGCAGCCCAAGGCTCCAAACTCAGGGAGACTCCAGGGTCCCCCGAGGATGCAGAGGGAGACCGGGGGTCCAGCTCTTCAATGTGCAGTGAGGGCCACATGCCCTGTGCCTCTTCCAAAGTGGCCTGTGAGCCTTGAGTGGGGCTCTCTGCTGTGTTGAAGACCCCAGGCTCAGACCCTGAGATTTCTCTCCCTCCCATGGGCTCAGTAGCTGTCTCTATGGAAGTGAAATCTACTGCCACATTCCCATCCACAGAAGCCTGTGGGCTGGATCTGAGGTGCTCAGCTTTGCTGAGTTCAGTGGGGCTGGTCCCTCCAGTTTCTCCAAAGTCTGCCCTGGGGGAGTTAGGACTGGCTCCAGCTTGTGTGTCCGTAGCTACCTGTGAGGAGGGCGTGGGACTTCCCTCTCTGTGGTCACTGAATGACAGGAACGTGGCCTCTCTACCTTGTCCGGTCAGGCCCAAGGAGGGGGGCAAGGAATATACCTCTGGATGGATGGGGTCCGGGAGACCAGCCTGGGTCTCTGAAGCCAGAGAGGGTGGGGCATCGACCATGGCCTCACTATGACCCATGACCCCATTGGTCTGGGTAAGGTGGGGTGTAGGGTGTGGTAGGAGCCACACTTTGGGAGCACGAAGCATGGCCATGACAGGGAGGTCTAGGGAAGTGACCATGGGGGATGCCTCCCAGGAGGCACTGCTGGGATCCTCTGCAGGGCTGGGAGCTAGGGCAGTGGCCTCTGAAGGGGACCAGGAAAGTTTGGGGTTGGCCAGCCTCACACTGGGGCCCTTGGCTTTCTCCAGCTCAAGACCAAGGGCTCTGATGGGGCCTGGGATGCTTCGTGGGACCACTGTTGGGGGCCACATCCAGGGCTCTGTGGGGCTCCTGCTACCAGGGGAACCTGCAACAATATCAACAGGAATAATTATTTCTCAGCAGTTCCTTCTGTTGAATGTCTTCTCAGTTTAGCCTGGGGTGGAAAGAGCTTCTGAGGCCAGGGGACCTAGCTAGGATTCAAAGCCTCCTCCTCCTCCCCCACTCAAGTCCCACCTCCTCCTTGGATCCCACTCACCAGCTCCAGGCACATCCACCTCATTGGACAGCACAGCCCAGGGACTTTGGCTCCTGCCACTCCCTAAGGAGTCTGTGGCTCCGGTAGCCAGAGGAGGCTCCACATGATTCCCAGCAGGCTCTGGTGTGGGGGGTTGGGCACTGACTTCAAGCCTCCCCTCCTGCCCTTGGAGGGATTCCCGTTGTTGGAAGTGGCGTCCATTCAGCCCTTTAAAGCGCCCCCTCCTCTCAGGTGTGGGGCTGGCTGGAGTCACCTTGCTGTGCATGCCAGCTGAAGTGCTTGATTCCAGGCTGCTGGAGAAGGGGACCACACTGCTCAACCACACCTCCTTAGTTTCCAGGGAAGGCCTTGAGATTAGTGTGGGAACCTCAAGGGCAGGGCTGGGGGTCTCCAGAGACTCCCACTTCTCTGCCAAGATCAGAGCCTCTTCCTCCCCACTGGACAGCAGAGGCTCCTGGAAGTCAGGGGTGACCACCTCCCCTTCCCCCAAGCTGGGCTCCAGTTCTTGGGCTGGGGGCCCTTCTGCCGACAGAATCTCCCCCTCATCCCCAGATGAGGGGGTCTCTGGGTCTCCATGTTGTAAAGTAGGGTAATGAGCTGTGGGAGAAAGCAGAAGAGGTTGTGTTAGGTTCAGGGGTTGGGAAGTTCTTCCTGAAGTCTAACCACATTCTAGCATACTGCAGCACAAACCTTCTGTGTATTTCTGTCTCTCAATGGCCCTCTGTCTCTCTGGGCGGGTTCTGGAATTCCCCCAGATGGAGGGAGGGTGGTGCAAAGTTATCCCTACAGTTCAGGCTTGCGCCACTGTCAAGGTCTGAGTCAACTGGTCCCATAAAGGGTCATGGGTAAAGCTCAAGCAGTGGTCACCTCTCGGAGCAGGTCAGACCTGGGCCTTGGCTCCTCCCCCGTGGGGGTGGGGGGAGAAAGTGCATAATGGACTTGTCCTTTTTACAAAGGGATTCCACCCCTCACCCCCCACCCCTTACATAGAAGATTTAACTCTTGGGAGTTGAGGTTTGCAGCTTGAGGCTGTTACTCCACCCCAAGTGCATGGGTCATCCCTGGTCTCGTCCATGGGTATGTGGCCTCGTTCAGGGGGCATGGCTAGCCGAGGTATCACTTCCTCAAGGACTACTTGTGAGCATAGCTCTACGTAAGATACGCTCCATACAGGGATGTGTCTTTCAGGGGGCTTGGGAATTATAGGCCCACACCCTAACAAGACTTCACGTTCCTACTCCCAGTGTGGGGCTCCAGGGGAAAGCCTGTCTCAAGCCCGCGGCCTTCACCCAGGGCGTGGCTTATCGCGAAGCAGGTCCATGTGTCCCTCCCCTGCCCAGTTTCCGCCTCCACCAGAAAGCAAAGCTCCCGGGGGCGTGGCCTTTACCGAGGTGCGAGCCCTTGGGTGTGGCCACCAGGGACGCACTCCCCCGGGAGTGGCCTCCCACGCACCACGGAAGCAGTAGGCGTCGAAGCGCGCTCCAGGTGCCGGGAAGCCAGTGCGGTTGGCGAAGCGGTACACGGTGCGCACGCCCGGGGTGGAGCCCCCGCAGCGCCGACGCGGCGTCTGAATCGGGTAACGCACGCTGCCATCAGCCAGCCAGCCCGGGTCGCACTGGTCCAGGCCCTCGTGCCAGGCCAGGTGCAGCTGCCCCACCGAGGCCAGCGCGGCACCCTGGCGGCGGCACTGGGCACGCGCGCCGGCCAGGGTCAGCCGGCGGGCTGGGCCCACGTAGAAAACTTCGCCTGTAGGAAGGCGCGGGAAGACGTGAGCAGAGGTCCGAGGGGCCTGGAGGACCCTGCCCTGGAGCCCAGCCAGGAAGTTGGACTCACTCCAAATAGCCCAGATCTGACCGAAAACGCCGCTTTAGCTTCTTGTTACAAATGAGGTATCTCGGGCATCAGAAAGAGGGAGGGGCTCGCGTGAGGATGTGGGGTAGGAAGGAAGAGAGGGGGGCAGGGAAGAAAGGCCAGGGAAGGGGTGGGCCCGTGTTGGCTGCAGGTTTAGAGAAGGATGGGATTGGGGACGTTAACAGGGGCTCAGGGAAGGGTCGGGTTCTATCAGCTCCAGACTTACCCTCTAGCTCACGAGCAAAGCAATACACATCGTAGAGTTCCCCTGGGTCGCGCCGCCCATAGCTCCTCACCCCTGGAAGGCTGCTACGATCACCATAGCAACCAGGACGGGACTGGGTGATAGGATACCTGGGAAGACAGGATATGTGCCCTTGGGGCCCCTAAGAACCATCTTTGCCCAGGGGCTAGCTCTATCTCCACACCATGTGTATCCCCTCACCGAACAGTGCCATCAGAAAGCCACCCAGCGTCGCAGTTGTCAAAGCCATCCTCAAAGGCAGCCTGCAGGTGCCGTGGGGCTGCAATGGTGGCTGAGCTGAGACGACAGGCCTCTTGGGCCTGGACGAAGGTTAGTGCATAGCGATCCTGGGCTGCCCGGTAGTGGAACACAACACCTGTGAAGAAACATCCAGGATAGGTGGCCGATTTATTCTGGAATCTTCAAGAACAGACCTCCCTCTGCAGAATGTCCACTCAACCCTCAGTCTAATAATAATAGAACTGTTGCCTATACTGCCCTGTACCACTTTCCTTCACTCAGCACCAAACATGGCACTAGGGCAATGGTGAGAAGTGATAGGGGATATGCCATTTCACAGGTGATGAAACTGATAACAATGGTCATAAAAGGCTAGAATTTGTCGAGTATTCACTACATAAAACGCATTTATAAGTATTATCTCATTGAAATTAAGGCTCAGAGAAGTTCAGGGACATGGCCAGGGTCACACAGCCAGTTTGAGGCAGAGCCAAAATTTATATTTTGGAAAATCTGACTCCAAAGATAGCATTCTTCATGCCCAGGTTTAGGCCCTGAAGGTGACAGGAGACAAGGAGAAAAGTGAGAGAGATTTTGCCATTTAGGAATTAAGTACATGCATTGATAGGGGAATCACTGGTAGCAATGGAAGATCACATGTGGTTATTGCCCAGCCTAGGAATGAAGGCACAGAAGGCTTCCTGACAGAGGTGACATGTGTCAGGACATGAAGCCCATTATTGAACGGGCTATCTGTGACTCAAATTCTGATTTAGGAATGAAAGAAATGGCTGAGCAAGACAAAGGAATGAAACATTTTGCTCCATTTTATCAAACTGAGAGCACCTAGAAAGTGGCAGCTGCATCTCAGTCATGACAGTGGCCCTGGCACCAGACTGGCATATGGTAGGTGCTCAATTAATATTTGACAGAATGAATGAGTTGCACAAATCCTTCCTTCGTCACTTACCAATTTTCTTTGAGGTTAATTGGTTTTGAGAAGCGAGGCCTTGGAAAGGGGATGACTGGTTAACCCCATAAAATATGCAGTGAGACACTGTTGGGTAGGAGAAAACTATACTCCAGGATGGGATGCAGAGACTTGCCCTTGGCCAACAGAGGTTAAGCGACATTGACTTCCCACAGGAATCCACAGGATGTTTTCCACATAACAATCCATTTACTGAGTCATTTCTTAAGTATCTATTGGGCATCTACTGTGCCACATTCTGTTCTAGGACTTCGCTTTAATAATAAAAAAAATTTTTTTCCTTGTTCACTTTGATAAGTTAGGAAAACAGAAACTACACTGGATATTTCAACAGCAAGAATTTAACACAGGAATTGATTAAATAGGTGTTTGAGAACTGTTATTTTATATTTCAATCAACTTTAAAAAAAGAAACTTATGCCCTGGCCGGTTTGGCTCAGCGGTTAGAGCGTCGGCCTGCGGTACAGAGAGACCCGGGTTCGGTTCCCACTAAGGGCATGTACCTTGGTTGCAGTTTGTCCCCGGCCCTGGTTGGTCGTGCGGGTGGCAGCCACTCGATGTGTCCCTTCACGTCGATGTTTCTCTCTCTCTCTCCCTCCCGCTCTATCTGAACAAAAAATGGAAAAATGTCCTCGGGTGAGGATCAAAAAAAAAAAGAAACTTACTTTTTAAAAACAAATTTATTGCCCAGCCAGTGTGGCTCAGTGGTTGAGCATCAACCCATGCACCAAGAGGTCACTGGTTCAATTCCCAGTCAGGGCACATGCCCAGGCTGCAGGCTCCATCCCCAGTGGGGGGTGGGGTGCAGGAGGCAGCCAATGGATGGGTCTCTTTCATCAATGTTTCTATATCTCTCTCTCTCTCCCTCTCTCTGAAAATCAATAAATATATATTTAAAAATAAATAAAATAAAACAAAATTTATTTTAAAAGGAAATATGTATTCCTATTTTAAACAGAAAGCTAATATCCTTTTCCTCCTGTGAAAATAGGTTACCATGAAATGGACTTAAAACAAGGTTGCGAAATCCTTTGGAATCCTGTGGTCCACAAGAGACTGAAGAGAGAGATATTAAAGAGAGGGTAGTACCTGTGGAGACTTGCTTTGTGACTTTATCAGAAATATTGAAAGGGAATCATTGTTCAGGGAGTGATTTCTTTTTTTTTATCCTCAACCGAGGACATTTTTCCATTGTTTGTTCAGATAGAGTGGGAGGGAGAGAGAGGAAGAGAGAGAGAGAGAGAAACATCGACGTGAAAGGGACACATCGAGTGGCTGCCACCCGCACGACCAACCAGGGCCGGGGACAAACTGCAACCGAGGTACGTGCCCTTAGCAGAAACCAAACCCAGGTCTCTTTGGACCGTAGGCCAATGCTCTAACCATTGAGCAAACTGGTCAGGGCTCAGGGAGTGATTTCTAAGGTGATATTCATTGGGTGGGCTTCAGGTTCAGCCCTTCCCCCTCCCAGTTTTGACTCCTCCCCTGCCCTCAACTGACCGGTCACTTCCAGGAATACCAGGTCCTGCTCATCCTCGATGCCCCTCACCACCTGGCAGCGGTAGAGCCCGGAGTCGCTGGCTCTCAGGGGCCCCAGTAGCAGCGTGCCATTGGCCCGGTGCTGGGGATAGGCGGGCAGAGATACACGTCCCTGCCAGCCCTTGGCAACTCGAACCACGTTGTTCTTGGCCACCAGGATAGGCAAGTCCTGCCATTGGCCTGATGCAGTGCGCACCTTGGTCCACTTGATCCGAGGGGCTTCTCCGGCTGCACCTGGCCGTGGCCTCAGGGTGAAGAGACAGGGCAGGGCCACCAGCTCCGCCAGTGCAGCTCTCACAGAACCAGACCCCACCTTCTGCATGTGGAGCCCCTTTTCAGCAGCAGCAGTGGCAACAGCAGTGGTGTCCTGTGTGCCTGGGGTGGGGAAGGTAGAGAGAGACCCAATTCAGAGTCAAGGACCAGCAGAGACTATTTCCCTTACTTTACTGGTAGGGAGACTGAGGCCAGAGATACTAGGTTGCCTAAACATCATGATGCAGTGCACAGACCTGTGATCTGCACCTCAGTCTCTGAACAGCAGAGGAAGAATGAGGTCAAATCCTTTTGTAGTTCTGCCTCCACTCAGAGTCCAGGTCCCAGAGGCCAGTGACTCTTTGTCACTGACTCACTGTGTGGCCATGAGGGTCACTGTCCTTCTCTGAGCCACAGTTTCTCCAGAAGTTAAAGGAGAGGTAACCATTGGGAGGGAAATGGTATTGTGGAGTACCTTCTATGTAACAGGCACTTTATAGATAGCAAGCAGCCCATCTGATTTTCATAACCATCTGCAGAAATAGCCATGTCATCATTCTCTTATTGTGGAGGAAACTGAGGCTCAGAGACATTACTGTAATTGCCTATGGCCACAGAGCAATTCAGGAGGCATTTCTAAAGCCTGGGCTTTTGACCGCTACTGGGGAGATGCCAGGGAGATGAACACAGACCTTTATTTCTATTGCCCTGTCCATGACAGGCATCACTAATCAATGTACACACTATTCTCATTCCTCCCTCCCTCCCAACTCCCTCTTCCTCTTCTACTCTCATTTCTTTCCCTCTCCTTCCCTTCCCCTCCATTCCCATTCTCTCTCTCTCTCTCTCTCTCTCTCTCTCTCTCTCTCTCTCTCTCTCCCCAGCACATCATAGCAAATGGTGAGAGGCAGGAACCGCCAGTCTTTGCTGGCAATGACTAAAAATAACCTCTCAGGTGCCTTGTTAGCTTTTGACTGTTCAAAGACGTTTTTCATCTATTCTCATTTATTCTCTACACTAAGCAAGCAGGAGAAGGCTCTTGAGTTAAAAAGCTGAGCCTTTTTGTCCAGACCCCAACCTCTCCCACCACACAGGCCAACTCACCCTGTTCCCCATCCACCAAGAACAGCATCTGGAGCACCAGAAGGCCTGAGGCCCAGACAGTCATGGCCCCCATGCTGGACCTAGATCAAGAAGAAGAGGAAGGAAGGGAGAGGGGGGTGAACACAACCCTCTCAGAGAGTTGGCAGGTAAAAATCAAGTCCCTCCTCTATAGATCTGGAAACTGGGGCTCAGACTGACCAGTGTGTCACTCAAAATAACACAGGCAGCAAGGGCAGAGCCAGGACCCAAACCCAGAATCAGCTGACTTCAGAATCCCAGCAATGATGTCTCATGGTCAGAAATATGAGTGCTGGAGTGAATCAGAACCTGAAGTTGTCTCTGTGTCAGTTCCTTGCTGTGCAACCTTGGGCAAATAGTTTAGCTTCTCTGTGTCTCAGTTTCTTCATAGGTCATATGGGGATAACAGGTAGTCGAAAGGAATAGATGAGTCAATACATAAAATGCTTAGAAATGCTTGGCACAAGGAAGTAAAATTCAGCTGTTATTATTACTATTGACCTTAACAGAAGCAAGATCAAAATCCCATTTTTCAAGTTGACCTCCACCATCAGATTTGGGGGGGGGGGTCTCCTAAAGGGCAGCAGCCAGTCTCAGTCTGCCTGGGGGTTCCCAGTCCTGGCAACAGGCTGGCCTCCAAGCCAGCCTTGAATCTGGGTTTCCTGAATGACACGATTCTCAGCTTCAATTCCAGGATTTGGTTGTCGCCAAGATTCTATTCTTGGTTTCTGGGATTTTTGAGGTGCTGCCAAGTCCCAGCTGGAGGACGGGGCCTTGCCCCTGCCCACCCTCCCCTCCCCCTTGACTTCACACTGCCTGGTGAAGATGCCTCCTAGGTCCATAGCGACTCCAGCTGTGGGTCCAGCCTTCTACAGGGGTTGTGGCCCATGGGTGTAAAGTGGACAATTATTGAGTGAGAACTGTAAGCAAGGTCCACTCCAAGCACGGGGGCACAGTAGTGGCCTCCCTGACCTCTCACTCTCTCAGAGATTAGAAACCCTGAAAAGGGGGCCTCTCTGGACAGACTCACCAGGCTCAGGAGGAAGGGGCAGATGGGGAGGTAGATTATCACCCATAAACCCAGCCCTTGCACCTCTCCCCAATAAAATAATAGCCTTTAGAGGGAAGTGTGGGTGGAGTCCAGAATGAGGGTCTGCTGCGGAGAGCTGGCCCACTCCATAAGGCCCTTCCCAGCTCCCAGAAGCTTCTTCTGGGAGACCGGCCCCGGGCCCTGTCCGTGGTGCTGAACTCGGGCAGCAATGCAGCGGTAGTGCCCACTTTGTCTTTTTCTTGTGATGGGCCCAGAGATGGCTAGCTGTTTGCTTAGGGCTGCACAGCAGGGTAGAGGCCAGGCACTGGGACCATCTGGCTGGGTATTAGAGGATGGGGCAGGACTCTGGGCTGCACCTGCCCCAGGAGGGCCCGAGAATTCTCTCTCTTCCTCTCTCTCTCTCTCTCTCTCTCTCTCTCTCTCTCTCTCTCTCACACACACACACACACACACTATAGTTAAGAGCTCAGACTATATCCAGATTACAGGACTATAAGCCTTGCCTTTGTTCCCTACATGTTACATGACTCTAGACACACTGCATCACCACTCTGTGCCTCAATTTCCCCACCTGTAAAATGGGTATTACCCAGCATGTACCTCATGGAATTACTGTGAGCATAAAATGAACTAAGATATGTGAAGTCCTAGAAATTTTGAATTAAAAAACAGGTTTTTTTTGTGTGCACAAAGCCTCATGTATATACTTAAATATACAGAGGTAGTCGAACATGGTGAGAGACACAGTTTCAGGTGCACACCCCCACACACAGACACACATGCCTTCCCACACACAGTTCCCTCTACTTGCACCCTCACACACCCACATCCTTTCTCTTAAAATATCTCCTTCCCAGGGCCTTCAGAGGTGAGCATTTACAGAGCTGTCTGGGGCTTGTCCCCTCATCAATAATACATGAGCCTCATGCATATGCAAGTAGGGGTCTGCAGGGTAGGCAGGAAGATATGCAGAGGGTGTGTGTGTGTGTGTGTGTGTGTGTATGTGTGTATGTGTGTCCTTCCCTTCTCACATCTATCTCCTGTCTCATGTCTCAGTGGACAATGAGTGAGGATGAGTTGGCCAGCAGGCATTTTTGTGTTTGTGCCTGGGTGTGCATCAGGGTGCCGTGTCAGGTGAGGATCTCCATAAGGTTGTGCCCTGTGGTGTGTGGACTTGTGCACAAGTCCCCAGCAGCTCTGTGCATTGGGTGGAGCATAGGGGATCCCCTGTGATCTCTGGATGTGTGGGTCTGAGTGCCCCTTGGTAGGGAGTCGGAGTATGTGAGTGCATAGGCGTGATCATGGAACTCCTTGGAGGAGAAAAGAAGCTGGCTCAATAAATCATTCCAGACTGCCCCTTTGGAATCCGACCCCCTGCCAATGTCTCCCCTTTAGTGTCCAATTCTGCACGCTGACCACATTTCAAACCCCTACACCCAGGGTCCACACAGTCAATCACATGGAGAGGAACCTTGCTGTGTACATGGGACACAAATGCAGTCATATACCCCAGACTCAGAGCCCAGGAGAGAAAGACACACACACATAAAGATTCACAGTGACATTAACAAAGAGAGACAATATGGGTATTTACAAGGCAGGCAGCATGTCTTCTGCACAAAGACACACACCCACATTCTCAGGCTCCCCACATAAACCCCTTGATGAGGCCACACCGTCAGGCACAGCTCTTCACACACACATATGGCAATGCCAACCCCTGGCACAACCCAGGCTGAATAAATGTGGCCTTGGTGACTGATGGGCACACATCATTTTGCCACCTGGTGTTGTGGCCCTTGGCACAAGTTTCCTGACAAAGACACAATCTCTGTCACATTAGACTCACAGAGGATCCCAGATACCTTCCCCCAATAAATACATACCCTCTCCCATCACAGGGTAGACACACAAAGCCCCCACCTCCTGGAGGGTCATCTTCCATTTGGGAATGCCCAGAGCCAGGGAGGCTGCTGGGTTCTGGGGTCCCACAATCTGCCCACCCCTCCCTCTCTGCCCTTCCCCCAAAACCCCCGCTGGGGCCCAGCACCAACATTCTCCTCAGCCTGGCTATCTCCCATTAATGCTGTTGAGAGGAACAAAGCCCTACGCGCAGGAATGGGGGTCACTGCTGCCCAGGCTGGGTCTGGGATGCCAGCCTCGTACTTCCCAGTGCCTGTGCCTCCAAACCAAACTGGGACTTCCACATGCAACCACATGAACAGATGGAACTGAAGGGGTGAGGCAAGGGTCTGTGTCTCACTGTGAGGAAACCATCAGATATGGAGGTGCTTGTGGCAGCCCCCTTTTTGGACTGGTGCCCCTCACAAGTCCTGGGGGTTTATAACTGGTGTTTCAGGGATACTGACTCAGTATTCACATGGGAAATCCAATATGTTCCCTGGGAGAAGGCACAGCACCCCAACTCCAGGTCTGAGGGAACAACAGGGAACACCTTGGGATGGGGCCCCTAGAGCCTTCTCCCTGAGTCAGGATGTGGTGATAGGACATGGGCCAAAAGGACAGGAGACCACAGGGTACCTCTTCCCATGGTCTTTAGCTCTCAGTGCAGAACCCCTTCCATCAGGCTAAGGATGATATGGGGGCCCCCTCCCGCTGCAGTCCAGCCTGGCATCCTCCATTCATCTGCAAACTGGGAATCCCCACTTAAAATCCTGGGGTGTTTTAGCTTAGACACTGGGGTGCCCTGTCCCAGAGTCCACGCAGCATCTCGGTGTCCCCCTTTTCTCTAAACTCGGGGTGTTCCCTTATCTGGCCTTAGTTCCCAGTGCCCCCTTCCCAATTCTGAGACCTACCCCTAACCAGGTCCCCTCCCCACCATGGGATCTGTTCCAAATTCCCTAGACAACCTTATCCCCAAATCCAAGTGCCTCTGACATTCCCAAGCCCCCTCCCAGTTTGCGTTCTCTCCTCAGCCCGGGGCTCCCTTTCCCTCTCTCCCATAGACCCCTCCCCATTCTGGGGGCGTCTCTCTGATCCCAGGCTCCCTCCCCAATCCCGAAGACCTCTCCCCCAACATAGCCTTTTCCCTGCGACGGACCCCCACCTGGTTCCTAGCTCAGATGCATCCCAGGGCGGTTGCCCGGCACAAAGGACGGTTAGAGTGGCTCTGGCACGCCTGGTCTAGCCTCTGCACCCTCCGCTCCACGGGCCCCAGCACCGCCTCAGCGCTTATAAAAGGGCCGCGGGGCTGTTCTGCGCATGCGCCGATGCCTCTCGGGGCCTCCGGCTGCGAGAGGGAGGGGCCCCCTCCGCCTAAAACGCGCTCCCTGCTCCTTCCACTGCTTGCCCTACCCTGGGGAAGACTGCGCCTTACTTCCTCTCTTTCACTTACCCCCAGGAACCAAGTTAAATGACCCCAGATGTTTCACGGTGGGCATGACCCATCCTACAGATGAGAAAACTGAGCCCCAGGGACACAAAGTTACTCCCAAGGTCATATGGAGGAGAAAGACAGAGCTGGGATTCTAACCCGGCTCTCTCCCACCAACTGAAGCAGTTTTGACTAGTTATTATTTTATCCCATTTAAATATGTTTTTATTTTTAATCCTCACCAGAGGATATTTTTCTATTTATCTTCAGATAGAGTGTGAGGGAGGGAGAGAGAGAGACACATCAATGTGAGAGGGACACATTGACGGGTTGCCCCCAACACCACCCGCAGGACCCTGCCCAAAGCCTGGGGGAACCCAACCGAGGTACCTGCCCTTGACCGGAATAAAACCCGACACTCCTTCGCCCTCAGGCCTTTGCTCTAATCCCTGAGCCAAACTGGCCAGGGCGAATTTAAATATGTTTTTATTGATTTTATTTTATTTATTTATTTATTTATTTTATTTTTATTTTTTGTGTGTGTGGTATGTGCCCCTAGCGGGAACTGAACCCGGGACTCTCTGGTCCACAGGCTGACGCTCAACCGCTGAGCCAAACTGGCCAGGGCTATTTTTTAATTGTTTATTGATTTTAGAGAGAAAGGGAGCGGGAGAGAGAGATGGAAACATCAATAAGAGAGAACATCGATTGGTGGCCTCCTGCATGCTCCCCACTGGGGATTTGGTCCACAACCTGGGCATGTGCTCTGATGGGGAATCGAACCAGCGACCTGTTGGTTCATGGGTCAATGCTCAACCACTGAGCCACACTGGCCAGGCATGTTTTTATTGATTTTTTAGAAAGAGAGGAAGGGAGAGAGAGGTAGAAACACCGACCTGAGAAAGAAACATCTATCCACTGCCTCCTTCATGCACCCCACTGGGGATTGAGCCCACAGCCAGGACATGTGCCCTAACCTGAGAATTGAACTGGGTCCTTTCAGTCCATGGGGCAACACTCAATCCACTGAGCCAAACCAACGAGGCTACTTTATCCCATTTAAAGAGAGGAAGTATAAGTAGATCCCTAGGTTCCACAGCTGATAAGATATGTGCAAGGTGGAAGCCCAGGTGTGTCATACCCGAGCTGTTGTTGCCAGCTCCAGCCAGAATGTACCATTCATTCATTCCTTTGTCCAATCAGCATTATGGAGCACCTGCTGTGGACCAGGTACTGTTGTCACAGGAATATTTTTGTTGTCACAGGGGCATATGTGTGTCTTTGCCGGGAGATCCCAATCTTAAAAAGCCTAGATCCATACAATGGAATGTTACTCAGCTATAAAAAGAAATGAAGCACTGACATGCTACAATGTGGATGAACCTTGAAAACATCATGCTGAGTGAAGTCAGATACAAAAGGCTGAATGTTTTATGATCCCATTTATATGAAATATTAAGAACAGGCAAATCTACAGGAACAGAAAGTAGATTAGTGTTTACCAGGGAGCTGGGGGAGAAGAGATGAGTGACTGCTAATGGGTACAGGGTCTCCTTCTGGGATGATGAAATGCTCTAGAACTAGACAGAGGTGATGGTTGCATAATAATGTGAATATACTTAATGCCATTGAATTGTACACTTTAAAGTGGTAAATCTTATGTTCTGTGTATTTTACCACAATGAAAATGAAAGGGGACAAAAGCTTAGAGGTCAGCCCCTTTCCCCTACCTTCCTTCCCACGGTTCCAGTCTCTCACAGCTGACTATGGACTGCACTGGGCAGAGGGTCTGTGTGTCTAAGGGTCCTTCATCTGTGTGTGTGTTTTCGTATCTCTGAGCATGAATCTCAGTCTGGTGGGGGGAGAGACAAACAGGAGACAAGATGGTTTCAGCAAAATTACCAAAGAGGGCATGAAAATACATGAAGGATAAGGAAAGACCCTGGGGAAGCAAGGCTGCCCAGGCTTCCCTACGTGTCAATTCTCATGCCTATGGACCCAACCTGCTGGTCTGGAGGTAGATGCTTTGTTTACTGTCTAACTCTTCATTACAGAGGAGGGATGGAGGTCAGGGAGCATTCTGATGTCCCTGCAAGTGACAGGCTAGTGTGACAGGGTGCAGCAGGGGACTGGGGTCTGGATATGGTTGTGTGATGTGCATGGAACAGGCAGCTTGGCCTCTACAAGTCCTGCATTCAAACCCCTCTTCACCTCTCCCAACAGAGTGACTCTGGGCCAGCCATTTCGTTTTTCTGTGCCTCAGCTTCCCTATCTGAAATAGAGATAATTAAGAGTCCTTACTGTACATGGTTGCTAAAGGAATGAAATGGAAGGTAAATACACAAGATGGTAGCTGCTATTATGCTACTGCCCACCTTCCAGCTGTGGAAACTGAGGCTCAGGAGCATGGATTATGGTTGCACAGTATGGGTCAAGTGGGAGCCCAAGTCTGTGGCCTCAGAGCCAAGCTGACCCCCACTTCTAACTCCCCCCTACCACTCAACTCCCCCTTCCCCCTACCCCTGGGTCCCCCTGGCTGGTGCCAGGGCTGAGCTTAGAGGGGCTGGCCTGGGGCCCAGGGGTGGGCTGTTGCTGGGGTTTGAATGAGGCAGCCTTGCCTGGGAATCTGCTGGGCTCAAAGAGCTAGTCTATTTATAGAACTGCTCTGGGATTGGGTGAGCCATCCCCCATCTCTGAGTGCCTTCTTTGTCTTCTCCCAACACACACACACACACACACACACACACACATTGGGGCCCTAGGCCAGGGGCTGCTGTGAGTAGGTGGAGGGAGCAGGGGAGAAGGCTAGTAAGCCAGAGCAAGCTGGACCCTCCAGAAGAGCTGGGTCTCAGGGGTGGACAGTGTTCCCTATGTGCCTCTCAACATATCCAAGGCAACACACAGACATAGCATATGCAACCAGATTCACATCTATCATATACACTGTCACAAACAACATGACACACAGTTACATCCCAGACACAGGGGGCTCATATACAACCACACCAGGCAAGGTCACATAGTAAGTCACACAGGCCACACACAAACTTTCATTGCCACACACAAGTCATGCCTGCTGCACAACCAAACTCACAACTGTGAGTCCAGCCCCACCTAGAGTCCCTTCACACTTAAACACCCACTGCTGTTCACATGCCCCTGTACCTCAGCCTTCCTGGCTGCCACAGACAGCCCACATTTGCCCCATGTTGTTCACATCCAGCCATGTTTACAACTGTGTAGGCACACCTACAACCAGCCAGCTCCTAATCATGATCACTTGGCACCATATCACCAACATAAAGACATACAGCCCTGGCCAGTTTGGCTCAGCAGTTAGAGCGTTGGCCTGCGGTAAAGAGAGACCCGGGTTTGGTTCCCGCTAGGGGCGCGTACCTCAGTTGTTGCAGTTTGTCCCGGGCCTTGGTTGGTCGTGCGGGTGGCAGCCACTCAATGTGTCCCTTTCACGTTGATGTTTCTCTCTCTCTTTCTTCCTCTCTCTCCCTCCCACTCTATCTGAACAAAAAATGGAAAAAAATGTCCTCGAGTGAGGATAAAAAAACAACAAAAAAAGACATACAGATCTCCAGGGCCACACTCAGCAAAGCCACTCATGCTCACCACTCAACACACCTAGTCGTGGCCCCGGGTGTTCCCAATGAGCTCACCTCAGTCCCTTCATGCCCACCCACCCCTCCCACTCCTACTGTTACCCTCACTTACCCAGACTCCCATCCTGTCAGGACCTACAAGTCCAGCTGGCACCAAGGGAGCATCTGTATACTCTGAGCCAGCCCTGCTGGCCCCAGGCAGACCCCAGTGAATAAAATCAGATCCAGACCTTTCCCGAGGGGGCTGCTGGCCAGGGGATACCATTACACTCACCCTTGAAGACTCTCCAGGCTGGGGCCTTGGGACAACATTAAACCTATTCCCCAGGAGGAAACCAAGGCTCAAAGCTATTTAAGGGCCTTTCCCTGCCCTGCTTAAGGATGACAAACTCATGGGAAGTGTGACCTGTTTTCTGCCATTGGTGGGGCTGCCCTCCCAGAGAGAGTCCCTGCTGACCCATACATTCTGTGTGACTATAGCAAATCCCTGACCCTCTCTAAGCCTCCATTTCTTCTCTTGAAAAATACAGAACTCAGCCCAGTGAAGGGAACTCCAGAGTCAGACTGGGGTTTGAATCCTGGTCCCCCTGGATGACCTTAGCCAAGTTACTTTGCTTTTCTGTGCCTTGGTTTCCCTCAGTGAACCAGAATAGCAGTTCCTGATTGTTCAAGAGTGCCCTCTGCTCCATCCCTTTGGGTGAGGGGGGGAGGGAGTGCCCAGTCTCTCCACACTCAGGCAAATGAATGGACCTCTTTTGGCTGCCCTGCTGGGAGCTTACAGCTGGTAATTTCTTGGAGAAACAGGAGGCTCTTTCATGTCCAGGCACCAGTGGGGTGAGGAGGTGGGAAGAGGGTATGAGCTGGCCTCAACCCAGTGGGCAAGGCGGCTCCATGCCAAGACCAGTAGTGATGTGAAGGGCCCCAGGGCAAGCACATTTTCCCTGGGGAACCTTGCCCAAGTGGCCATACCCTCAGCTGTAAAATGTAGGTGATATGGACCAGCACAGCAGGTTTAATGAGCCAGTGGATGGCGACAAAATGTGGCTTCAAGTTAAACATAGGGTGAGCTCTCAACAAAGGTCAGCACTGTTGTCATGTGTCATTCTAAAGAGCCCACTAAATTCTCCAGCAGTTCTAGAAATAGAATTCCCTCCAGTTCACAGATGAGGAGACAGACTCAGAGGTCCACATGCTTTTCCACAATCACACAGCCAGTTAGTGATTTTAATGGGATTCTCCAGGGTCCATGTTCTTCCTGACTTCCTTTGGGGTAAGGGAGGTGTTTTCTGCCATTTCCAACCCTGATCCTGAGACCAGCAGAGCCAGGTCTGGATGGCACCAGATCTTGACTGAATGAAGGAAATCCTGGCAGGCAAGGGTTGATGGAGCAGCCCTTCCGTTAGTGTCCCAGTTTCCCAGCCAGCACCCCCTCCTGGAGTGGGCTCCAGCAGATGCTAGTAGAATGCCAGGAGGACCATTATCCCAGCCCTTGAAGAAAGGGGCTGGACTCCAGACCATTTAGCTGAAGCCAGGAACCAGAGCCTCCTGGCAGTGGCTGATCTGTTTCAGAACCCTCCATTCATGCGGATCATATGGTATCCTGCCTTTTCTCAAACACCTTCTGTGATTGCTCTGAGCCCAGCAGGATCTGGCTCCACATATTTTATTCAAATTCATGGTCTTTCACCCAACCAGACCTTTGGTTATACTGTTCTCCCTGCCTGGACACCCCACTCCCCAACCCCCCAGATTTTTCTCACCCTGGTTAATTCCTACACACCCATTAAGGTGTAGGTACAATATCCCCTCTCCCAGAAAGCTCTCTTACTCCTGCTACCCTAACTACCCTAGCACTGTCCCTCCACCTGGCTCAGCCCTGGTCCCATGGGGATGGGAGTGTGTGTGTGTGTGTGTGTGTGTGTGTGTGTGTGTGTAGCTCTGTATTACCCAGATTGGTGGGCTGGAACTGAGTCAGCATCAACCAACACAGGGCTGGGCAGTAGGGAGCGGCAGTTGTTCAGTGAATCAGTGAACCAAATCTTTAGCCTGGTCTCTGAGGGGTTGTGTAATCTGGTTTGGCAAACTCCTGTTCACCCTTCAAAACCCACTCCACATGCCCCCTCCTCCAAAACACCCATCCCAGGTAGCATTTACTGAGAAGACAGATTTGAAAGCCGTCCCAACCAGGACACATGAGGCTAATGAAGACTTCTTGTATCTGCAATATCATAAACCCTTTCTTTGGCTTCTGGGAGGCAGTAAGGTACATGGGTTCCCAGGTTTCATTAGCAGTTAGGAGATGGATTTGGCAGACTTCCCCAGATAGGATCACATCATTATAAAAAGTATATCGGGCCCTGGCCAGTTTGGCTCAGCGGTTAGAGCATCAGCCTGCGGACCAGAGTCCCCGATTTGGTTCCCGTTAAGGGCACGTATCTGGGTTACAGTTTGTCTCCCGGTTGGGGTCGTATGGGTGGCAACCACTCCATGTGTCTCTCTCACATCAATGTTTCTCTCTCTCTTCCTTCCTCTCTCACTCCCGCTGTATCTGACAATAAATGCAAAAATGTCCTCCGGTGAGGATTTAAAAATATATATATTGGTCTCCAAAACCTGCGGGCACCAAGGGACAGCATCCCACATTCAGTCCACAAACAGTTGCTTTTAGGTGTCCGCCTTTTTAACTCACTGGACGCGGGCCCTTTAAGAGGCGGACGCTGAGAGGCCAGGCTCCGGTCAAACCCGCCCTGGAACGGCGGCGGCGCCGCGTCCCGAGTCGCATTGCTTCTGCGCGGCGTCCCTGCAGTTCCGCTTCCAGCTTTTGGTTCTCTGTTCCTAAAGAAAGTGAGGCTCGGAGCCGGAGCGACCGCCCCCAAAACCCACAGGACTCCTGGTCTCGGATCATTGGCAGTGTCCCCCAAACCCCCAATTTCTGCGGCAAGGGGGTGATCAAGGCGACATTTAAGACTGGAATCGGAGGAGGGGCAGTGACGGTTCTTATCCAGTGTCGCGGGTGAGGACGTTCAAACTCAGAGGCGTGAACAAGGTCTCACTATTGTGGATGCGTTGGCGCCGGGATTCGAACCCGCGCTAAGCCGAGGTCTTGTGGAGTTGAAATGGCCCACTCTTTGGTTTGTGCAGACACAGTGAGCAGGTGAGAGCCCCGTGAGGTGGGGGTGGGCAGTGGTGGTCGAGCTCTCTGTAAACAGAGCTGGGGGTTTGTGGAGCCAATGAGGAGGGGGCGGACCCTGTGGTGGCTGGGCCCTCAGTGTTGGGTTCAGCCCCTCTGCTCGGCCTGATTCTGATGTCTCAAGGGTGAGTTCAGTGCTTAATCGCAACACCCGGCAGTTTGGAAAGAAGCACCTGTTCGACCAGGACGAGGAGACGTGCTGGAACTCGGACCAGGTGAGGTCCTCCACTAGTCATGTGAATCAGATTTAGGCGTCCAGAGTGCCTTGAGAACTCCAGGGGACCCACAGCTGGGTTGCCCGGTTGGCCAGGAGGGAACATGTGTTGAAAGAGCCCCCCCCCCATCCCCCAATCAACTATGTGAGAGAGGGCATAGCACTCCTTTGAGCCTGGAGTGACTGTGGGCCTGTCTTCCGGTGTACTTCCAGGGCCCCTCCCAGTGGGTGATACTAGAGTTTCCCCAGCGGATCTGTGTCTCCCAGCTGCAGATCCAATTCCAGGGAGGTTTCTCCAGTCGCCTGGGCCACCTGGAAGGTACTGGAAGGCCCTGGAAGAGGGGGAGATGAGGGAGTGGAGGGGACACCCTGGCCTCACAGTCTGCCCCTTTCCCTGCTGCAGGTTCTCAGAGGAATGAGGCTCTCAATAAGATTGTGGACTTCTACCCTGAAGACAATAACTCAATTCAGATATCCTACCGTGGCCTCTGGGGTGGGGTGGTCTGTGCCTCTGAAAGCTGCAGGTCCTGCCTTGAGCAAGTGGCTTCTAGGCCTGCATCACTTCATCTGATGTGAGCTTATGGTAATCTGTTCTGTGTGAATCTCAGGGACCCACAGCTAGGTGTCTGAGCTAGGTCTGACTGGGTAGGAGTTGGCAGGGTTAAGCGACAAGCCACCTGTTTCCCTTGACTGCTGTGCTCACACCTTCCCTGTACCAGCTACTGAAGTGGACCAGCTAAAGATAACGTTTGAGGACCTCACTGACTTTTTTGGCCGTGTGATCATCTACCACCTGAAAGTGCTGGGGGAGAAGGTGTGAAGCCACTGGGCAGCCTCCTCCAGGAAACCCTTATGGAAGCACAGCAAAGTCCTTCCAGTTCTGCACAGGTTTATTGATTTCTGCTGGGAATGATCCCATCCCCCCCGTCTGTCCAAGAGCTGCCTTTGAAGCCAGTTGCCGGTTTCCCCCAACTCTGGGTCAACTGTTTTGTTCCCTGAGTGTCTGAGTCCCTGTGGGGCAGGTGGCCTTCACTCGGGATCGTCGGGCACCAGGTTATTCTGGAAGAGTTTGAGGATGTGATTTTCGATCACCTGTTGCACTGGAAACAGGACAAGGAAAAGGTGGGCCATGAATGGAATTGGGGCTGCAGAGAAACCGGTCCACCTGCACCCTCCCATCAGGGGTTGAGCTGGGGAGTCCTGCCTTGAGAACTGCACCCTTTCCTCTGGGGACGAACAGGGGCCTTTCCACCCTGGGACGTGGATAAAGGACCCATTTCATACATAGGGAAATCCACGTCCCTCCCAGGACACAACTGGGAAGACTAAGGCCCCTATCCCAGAAACCTTAATTTCCTCTAAGTTTATAAAAATGTGTTTTAAGAGGCATTTCAGGGTTACAAAAATATTCCTTACAAAACCAAATTGGTGAATTGTGATGTTTATGAAAGGACAAGAAGAGCTATGAAGATTGATTTGTCCCAAATGGAAGTCTCCTTGAAACAAGGAGGGGATATTTCCTAAACCCTCAATCCCCCCCGCAATGGCCCCAGGGGATAGTTCTGGTAGGATCACCCTGTTTCATCCATGGAGAAGTGGGATATCAAAGGGGTCTGCCTCAAGTCTCTGCTTACACCGACCTCCTGCCTCAGAGAGGGTGGCCTCCATGGCCCTGTGCAGTGTGGCCCAGCCTTCCTTTGGGTGTCCTTATCCTGCCAGGCCTCTGCATGTGCTGTTCCTCCAGCCTGGACCATCCTCCCTCCCCTTGGATCCCCAGGAAACCCACCCTGACCCCAATCCATCCTAAGGTGGGGCCAGGGCCTCCTTTGAGCCTCTCTGTGCCTGAGTGTCCCCCATCATGACCCCAGCTACTGGCACACATTGGCCTCCACCCCAAATCACAGGGAGATCCCTGAGAACCAGGCTTAGCACATGCCTAGGCCAAGTATACAATGGCACTTGATGTTTGCTAACGTGAACACTCTTGTTGCCAGCATCTGACATCCAAGAGGGATGCCCTGTGTACCCTCTCTGGTCTCCCCACCTATAACACCCTGCCACTTCCCCATGTGTCTTAGGCTGACCTTTCCGGTATCCCAGAGCCACAGCGAGGTCCATTGGGGTATAGCCAGAGTCAGCTTCAGTGGTGAGATCAGCTCCTCGGGCTACAAAGCAGAGCAGATGCTGCAGGGGAGAACTGGGATCCCAGAATGGGGCACGGGATTCTGGACATCCAGTGATCCCCAGTGATGAAGCCCCAGGTCTGATGGTTGCCCTTGTAGACTTGGATGAGAGACTGAACTCTCGTGAGAATGTGTCCAACAGAAGCCCCATCTCCAGCCCCCTGATCAACCCTCTGGGAAAAGCAGGCACGATCTGTTCAAGCAGTGCTCTGACCCCTCCCTGGCCCTTGATTTTTGCAGTGTCCCAGGGCCAGCTTCTACTCCCACTCACCCAGCAAGGCCTCCACACACTTCACATGGTTCCCACGTACGGCATACAGCAGTGGCGTCCCTCCATTCTGATAGGGGGAGGGGCAACCAGCACTATCTTTACTGGATTCTCACACCACCCAGCACCCTCCAATTCAATGTGGTTCCTTCTCCTGCTTGTCACCTAGCCTGTCTAGCTCCTCCTTTGGAGCCCAGCTTAGATGTCCCTCTTCCAGGTAGCCCTCCCTGACCTCCCATGGCTGTGCAGGATGCCTTGGCTCTTGCAGCTGCCTGTGTGACTGCCATCACAGTGTTATTTACTTTATCAACTCCTCCCCTGCTCCCTTCCCACCAAAACTGGGAGCTCTGTGAAGCTCAGGAATGAGTCTGTCTTATGTTCTTAGCATCCAGAGCAAGCCTGTTACCCTGAAAGGATCTCAGGGCTGGCATGTGGTGCCTCACCCAGTCATAGATGTTGATGTCCACGTCACGCTCAAGCAGCAGCCCCACAATGTCTGTGTAGCCACCTGTGCTGGCCAATGACAGGGCGCTCTCCCGCTCCTTGGCCAAGATGTGGGGGTCAGCACCCTGCAGGGAGCAGAGGTGGCAGTGATAGGAAGGGGTGAGTGCAGAAGGAGTAGTGATGGGAGGAATGGGAGAATCCCCTGGAATCCTGTGGTTCCCATGGCAGCCACATCTTACAGCCACGACATGGGCCGACTCAGCCAAGACCTGGCCCGCCCTCGAGTCCCTGGAAGCCCCCAGCTGGGCAGGGACGCACCCACTCAAGCAAGAATCGGACGGTCTCAATCTCTCCGAAGGCCGAGGCCCAGATGAGGGGAGTGAAGCCACGCTCGTCCCGCTTGTTGATGAGGTTGTCGCCTGGCAGGAGGGGGTGGTACCACTGGGCTACACCCCTGCCCACTCTCCCCAAAGCTGTGGGAGCGGGAATCAGGTGGGCGGCTGGGGTCAGATGGGGGGACACATGTGGATACACACAAGTGGCCATACTTATACACACATGTAGACACAGGTACACATGGACAGGCGCAGGTCATTACAGCACACTCCAGCACATGAGGTCAGACAAGCATGGATACACTAGGTACATGGGTGTGAACACACACCTTTCCTCAGATGCTCCTTCAGCTGGCTCAGCTCTCCCTGGGCCGCAAGCTGGTGGATGGACAGGGCTGGGGCCAGAAAGAGGCAGTATCCTCACCCGTCCCATCCCTGATCTGTACCTCAGTTTACCTCCTGTCCCAAGTTGCTCCTCTCAGCCCTGCCACTCTACTACCTGACCCCTCGTTGGGGATGGGGGCCACACTCACAGTCCAGGGTGGCCGGCAGGGCCGAGACTTCATTTCCCCGCTGCCGGTTGGTGAGGGTCGTGGAGTGTTTCAGGGAGCTGCCTGGTGGGAGAGAGAAGAGGAAGAGTTCTGGGGCTTCAAGCCAGACCCTGGGGACTTAGAGCTACCAAAGACACTGCTTGATTCTCCTATCCACTCTCCACTGATGTTACTGGAGCTGAGCCCTGAAAGCTAGAAGCTATAGGACCCACTTACCAATCTGGAGATGACCCACAGATATCAATGGGTCATCTGAAAACCTGAAAATTTGGAGACTGTTGTTCCTCAGAAAAGGCAACTTTCGGAGTATCCTGAGTGGGGTCCTGGGCCCTGCCTGACACCAGAGATGTTAAATAAGTTATGGGGCAAGGCCACTGGTTCTCCTGAGAGACTGCCAGCTCTAGGGTCCTGCTGCTTGTGTGGAAGTCATGCCCAGGTCCCTGAGGAGAGGCCCAGGTCCCTTTTGGGGTGATGGAAATGTTCTAGAAGTATAAACAGAGGTTGGGGTATAGAGAGAGGTTGGGTTACCAATCACTGAATGTACTTACTGTCACTGAATTGCATGCAATTCTGGTTAAAATAACTTTTATGTTATGTGGATTTTACCACAATAAAAACAATTAAGCAATCCTTACTAGAAGCAGGTAGACATGTATGTCCTAGGTGCTGAGACATGAAGACAGAGACCCCATCTTGGGCCTGACATTCCACAGTCCTTGCATCCCAGAGGCTGGAGCCCAGGGCAAGTACCTACCCTGAGGTGAAGAGGCACCAGCATCCAATTCAGGATTCCCAGGCTCCGGAGTGCAGGGGAAGAGACTGAGCACCACTGTGTCTGAGCCATCTGGGGCCTCATCCCTGGGGTCTTCAGGGTCCCCAAATTCTGGGGTGGGGGGCTGCTGGGTCAGGCTGAGGTCCTCTGCAGGCTGGGTGAGCTCCATGCGGGAAGCTAGTGGAGGCACCAAAAGGGTACAGATAATTATAGACAACTCTTATTAAGTTAGGCATCAACCGCATAACTGGCCTTACACAGTGAGGGTGGGTAAACTCTGGCTCAGGGAGGAAATTAAATCAAGAGTCCAGCCCTGGCTGGTTTGGCTCATCGGTTAAAGGGTTGGCCTGCGGTCCAGAGAGACCCAGGTTCAGTTCCTGGTAAGGGCATGTACCTCGGTTGCAGTTTGTCCCTGGCCCTGGTTGGGTCATGCGGGTGGCAGCCACTCAATGTATCCCTTTCACGTCGATGTTTCTCTATCTCTCTCCCTCCCTCCCACTCTGTCTGAACAAAAAATGAAAAAATGTCCTCGGGTGAGGATAAAAAAAAAAAAAAGAAAGAAAAAGAAAAAAAATCAAGAGTCCAGTTGCTTTTCAGGCCCACTCCCCACACCAAGGCACATACAACAGACATTGTTTAAAGCCCTGGCTCTGGGGTCAACTATCTGGGTTGGTATCCTTCCACTTACAGGCTGTGAGAACTTGGGAACATGACTTAACTACTCTGAACCTGTATCCTCATTAATAAAATGAAAATGAGGTCTAAGAGTAGTCACGTCAGTATAACTGAGCTGGCAGCCTGAAACACCAGCAGAGCTTAATAAAGGTTTGCTGTGGCTCTTTTTTTGGAGGGTGGTTCCCCAGAATGACTGAGGGTCAACAAAGATGTAATTGGTTCCATTCCACCCACCCCTCCAAGCAGATCCAGGAGGTCCACTCACCTCCAATGAACCTTCTTTGTCACCCCTCGCCGCAAGCTCAGGTTTCCCAAAACTTGGAGGCCCAATTCACAAACTTTTCTCCTCCAACTGATGTAAAGGGGAGCAGTCTGGAGCCTGGACCCTCAGCGCCCCGGCTTCTTCTGCCGGGACAGAGAGCAACTTGATACTCGACCACTACCCCCACCCCAGAGCTCCTCCACTGCGCCTGCGCACCCCACCCCCCAAAAGTGCGGAAGGACAGGAGCAGTAGAAGCTGCTTCTGGCCCTTTAAGGATTGGGTGAGGGGCGTGGTTTCCGCTGGGGCCCGAGCAGTGCAATTGCGCCTGCGCGGTCTTGTTCCGACGCTCAGAAGAAAGTTCCGTAGGGTCCGAAGAAATGGGCGGAGCTTCAAAGGGCTCGGAGGATCTCACGGCGCCTTTTAGGAGCCAATTGGCTCCAGGTTCAGACGGGTGGGCGGGGTTTTATCCCTTGGAGGGCTAGAGGAAGAAAGCAGGCGGGGCGTCTGGGATTTAAAGGGGCGACTCCTTTGTCATCCCTGTCCATAACAGTGTTCTCTCTGCGGTCTTGGAGGGCTCATGAACATGTGCAGGGGTTTGATGGCAGCAATGGGGTACAAAGAGGTAGTTTATAACGTCCCGAAGTGAACGATGTATGGCACGTTCCCCTAATTCATCCGCCACTGGAAAAGGGGGTTCAGGGAGGGAGGGCGCCTTGCCTATCCCCTCCTCTGTATCCCTCCTGGAGTTTCATGGGGTTCTTGTCCCCTCCTCACCTGCCTCCCGGTGTGCTCCCTTCCCAAGTCTCTCACTGATGGCTCCTCTCCTGTCTAGGTAGAGACGGAAGAACGGAGAGAACAGGCCAATTGGTACTGGAATTGTGGTAGGGCCGAGTCCGGTTTTGCCCGGGAAGGTTTAGGGAGCTGTCATCACCTCCAGACTTCCGGTTCCGGGTCTTAGGTTTCTCAGGCCGCTGTCGCTATGGAGGAACCGGAGATGCAGCTCAAAGGGAAGAAAGGTAATGCGAGGTCCCGGGCTGGACGAAGAGTCCAGGAGCTCGCAGATCGGCAACCTGACAGGGAGGGAAAGGACAAAGACGGTGAGGGAATGTGAGGGCCAGAGATAGAACTGCCATCAAATCCTGGTTGGGCCGGTGACTCGTTTTGAAACCTTTAGAAAGTCCCCGTGCCTCGGTTTTGTCATCTGTAAAACGAGGAGTATAGTCTCCGTCCCTCCCCTCATAGGCTTTTGAGAACTCAATGATCTGATATTTGTAATACATTAGAAGAAAGCTTGGGGCGGGGCAATCCTTGTATTGTTGCTCTATAGAGTTACGCATTTGTGTATACCAAATATTTCTAAATCACATAGTTGTAAATTACAAAATGCCACAAAGTTCTTAAATTATAAAGTTTTTTTGTTATTTTATCACACATGTTACTTCTAATTAGTTAGAGGGCACAAGTACATTTAATTCCACCTTTTTTATAATAACACTGAGGTGTAAGTTATTACATGCTCTTTTTGAAAGGAGGAGGCCCAAGAGGGTAAAAGGTTCTATAATCTATACAGTCTGGAGGTGGCAAGCTGGGCCAGTGAGCTGGACTAATTCACACTGGACAGACTCATGCACAATCTCCCTTGACTCCCAGACACAACAGGGTTCTCTCTCTCTCTCTCGCTAACCACATTGCTTTAGGCAGTAGCATAGGGTCCATCTCTGTAATAGACCTCAAGAGTGGGTACTGTTATCATTGCATTTTTACAGATGAGGAAACAAGCTCAGAGAAGCCCTGCCCTCACGAATCAAAGCTCTAATTTTTTTTTTTTTCTGTAAACATGTAACCTAGTAAAGAACAAGAATTTAGCCCTGGCCAGTTTTGCTCAGTGGTTAGAGCGTCGGCCTGCGGTCCAGAGAGACCCGGGTTCGGTTCCCGCTAAGGGCACATACCTCGGTTGCAGTTTGTCCCCGGCCCTGGTTGGTTGTGCGGGCGGCAACCACTCGATGTGTCCCTCACCCGAGGATATTTTTCCATTTTTTGTACAGATAGAGTGGGAGGGAGAGAGAGAGAGAAACATCGATGTGAAGGGACACATCGAGTGGCTGCTACCCGCACGACCGACCAGGGCCGGGGACAAACTGCAACCGAAGTACGCGCCCTTAGCGGGAACTGAACCCGGGTCTCTCCCGACCGCAGGCCGACGCTCTAACCGCTGAGCCAAACTGGCCAGGGCTCGATGTGTCCCTTTCACATCGATGTTTCTCTCTCTCTCTCTCTGTTCCTCTCTCTCCCTCCCACTCTACCTGAACAAAAAATGGAAAAATGTCCTTGAGTGAGGATAAAAAAAAAAAAAAAGAACAAGAATTTAAGTATAAGAGAAATGAACAAAGTGCTGGCTGAGGTTAAGAATGAGGGACATCTGATTAAGCTTAGTGATTAGGGAAGGCTTTGCCCAAGAGGTGACATTTGAGCTGAGACAGGAATGAAGAGAAGCCTGGGGCAGGGGTAGGAGATGGGGATGGTGCCAGTGACAGAACAACAGATGCAAAAGCCCTGAGGTGGCAAAGTGTTTAGAGATCTGCTGTAATACAGTAGCTACTGGTCACAGTATTTATGGGTAATTAACATTAGCTAAAGTTAAAAATTCAGTTTCTGAGTCACATTGACCACATTTCAAGTGCCCAGTAGCCACCTGTGGTTAGTGGCTACCATGTTGGACAGTATAGATTATAGAACCTTTCAGTCATCTCAGAAAGATTTTTTGGACAGTGCTGGGAGTGTCTAAGTAACAGCCAGGAGGCCATTGTGCCTAGGCAGAAGGCGAAGAGGGCAGGGAGGTCAACAGCAGGCAGAACACACAGGACCTTAGGGGCCATGGTGAGGAAAGCAGGTTTTTATCTGGCTGATGGGAGCCATGGAAGGGTTCCAAGCAAGGGAGGGACATATTTGATGTGTTCATTAGGAGTTCACTCCATCTGCTGTGTGGAGACCAGGGGGGGCTACGTCTGGCATCCATGTGGGAGGTAGCCATACCTAGACCAGTGCAGTAGTAAGCATGGGTGAGCTTGGTCTTTGTTTTGTGGCAGAACCAGAAGGATCTGCTCATAAATGGTATGGATGACCAACTGACTAGGAATGCAGACCCTGGGATGAAGATTTGTGTGTAATTAACTTACCAGGAGAGCCCTGCAGGTGAGAGGTAAAACAGAACATGGCTGGGGAGGAGGCTGAGCAAGGAGCAACCTCAGGTAAAACCCCTCAGAGGGAGCCTTGGCTAGAGTGGCTCAGAGCGTATAGTGTCAGCCTGTGCACCAAAGGGTCGCAGATTCAATTCCCTGTCAAGGGCACATAACCTGGGTTGCAGGTTCGATCCCCAGCAAAATCTCTCAGAGGGAGGTGAGGCATGCCTCCCAATTGTTCCAACACACAGCAAGGGGCAGAGACTTTCATACTCCTCATGGCTGCGGGCCACCCAGGGTTATAAATAAACTTTCAGGCACTTTCAGATCCAATAAACAGTGGATCCTCAGGAGGAATCTCAGATTTATTCACTGGGGTAAAAAGAATGCAAGGGGATCCAAGTGGGCAGGAGCTGTGTCCACTACAAGGGGGCTTGGGAGGGGAAAGATCATGAGTTTACTGGATGTATTGATAATATAATGAGTGAGGCCTTCTGTGACCATCTCCTTCAACCTATCACCTGGGCCACAGGTGACCCAGCTGCTGGAGGGGACACCAGATACCCCTCGCTCTGGCTGGACTCATAGGTTGGGCAATCAGGAGTCTTATGCTTTGTTTCTTTGTGTCTGTACATTCCCTTCCCTTATTTTGCTGCCTTCCACTGTCAATCCTGGACCCAGTCACAGACAAGTTCACTGAGAGCGTCTACGTCCTGGCCAATGAACCATCTGTGGCCCTCTACCGGCTCCAGGAACATGTGCGCCGCTCTCTGCCAGAGCTAGCCCAGCATAAGGTGAGCCCCATGCACCCCTGCCACCAACCCCTTCAGAGTCTGCACATTGTGAGCTGGGGCCTACTGGCAGAGCAGGGACTGCTGAAATAAGAACCAAGGCTGAGACACCAGCAAGGAGGCATGTAGTTACTGAACCAGATTGGGGCTGTGTGTGGACAGATGTGGAGCAGACTTGGAAGAAGGAGCAGCAGGCCTAGATTAGTTGTGACCTGTATAGTGAGAAGGAAGCAGCTGTGTGAAGACTGGAGGGAATAGCATGTCAGTGAGAGGGAATAGTCGATGCAAACACTCCAAGACATAGTAGCTAGGTATTCACAGAAAGCCTGGAGGAGAGTTGTAGGAAGAAAGGTACGGGGCTGGAGGGGGCCAGTCTCAGCAGCCATGGTGATCTGGTGTTCCATTTCAGAAAGGATGATAGAGGTGGCTGGCAGCCTCCCCCACCCCTGCCTAACAGCTTCCCATCCCCCACTCCCCACAGGCTGACATGCAGCGGTGGGAGGAGCAGAGTCAGGGAGCCATCTACACAGTGGAGTATGCCTGCAGGTGAGCACCACAGCCTCCCCATTGCCAAGGTCACCCCACTATGCCACTGTGCCCTGGGGTCGCCTCCTGGGCACTCAGGGGCATCTCAGCCAGCTCCCCAGTGATTCCTGTCTTGCCAAGCCCACCTGTGTAGGGATGCATCTGGATCTCAATTTACTTGGCCACACAGCAGGTTCTAGCCTAGGCCTGTGCTTCTCACTATTTGCTCTACCTCTGTGTGCCTTGGGCAGGCTTCTTCCCAGCACTGAGCCCCTCCCCATCTGTCATAGGAGGGTGTAATAAGGATTGGGAAACATAAAATTTATCATCTTAAAAAAAATGAAATAAAAACAAGCAAACAAAAATAAAAAAAACCATCATCTTAGCCCTGGCTGGTTGCTCAGTGGTTAGAGCGCCGGCCTGTGGACCGAAGGGTTGCAGGTTCAATTCCAGTCAAGGGCATGTGCCTGGATTGCAGGTTCGATCCTTGGCCCTGGTTGGTGTCTCTCTCACATCAATGTTTCTCTCTCTCTCCCTCCCTAACTCCCTTCCAGTCTCTCTAAAAAGCAGTGGAAAAATATCCTTAGGTGAGGATTAAAAAAAAATTGTCATCTTGACCACTTTTAAGTATATAGTTCAGTGGCATTAAATACATTCACATTGTGCCCTGGCCAGTTTGGCTCAGCGGTTAGAGCATTGGCCTGTGGTCCAGAGAGACCCGGGTTTGGTTCCCGCTAAGGGCGCATACCTCAGTTGCAGTTTGTCCCTGGTTGGGTTGTGCAGGTGGCAGCCACTCAATGTGTCCCTTTCACGTCAATGTTTCTCTCTCTCTCTCTCTCTCTCTCTCTCTCTCTCTCCCCTTCCCTCCCACTATATCTGAACAAAAAATGAAAAAATGTCCTCGGGTGAGGATTAAAAAAAAAAAATTCATTCACATTGTTGCACAGCCATCACGACCATCTATCTCTAGAACTTTTCATCCTGCATAACTAAAACTCTATCTCCATTAAACACTAATTCCCCATCCTGCTCCCCCAGTCCCTGGCACCCACCATTTTACTTTCTATTTCTATAATTTAACTACTCTTGGACCTTACATGAGTGGAATCACACAGTATTTCTCTTTTTGTGTCTATCTTCTTTCATTTAGCATAATGTCCTCAGGGTTCATTCATGTAGTTAGGTGTCGAAATTTTCTTTTTTAAGGCTGAATAAAATTCTACATTTTGTTTATCCATTCATTTGTCAGGAGGCATTTAGGTTGCTTTCATGTTTTTTTTCCCAAAAATTTTTAAAAATCTTCACCTGAGGACATGTTTATTGATTTTAGAGGAAGGGAGAGAGAGAGAAACACTGATGCACGCGAGAGAAACATACATTGACTGGATGCTTCTCATATGTGCCCCAATTGAGGACTGAACCCCACAACTTGGGCATGTTACCCCCATCAGGAATTGAACTCATGACCTTTCAGTGTACAGGATAACGCTCCAACCGAACACTCTGGCCAGGACGCGTTGCTTCCATGTTTTAGCTATTGTGAATAATACTGCTGTGAATGTGGGTGTACCACTTATTTTTTTGTTTGTTTAATTTTCTCTAAATCTTCAGATTGGTTTTTCTTCCCCAAGGGAAAGATGCCTGAAGGTGAAAAATAGTTGGTGTTTCTTTGCATTATGGCAGCTTTGCCGCCCTTTTCTCCTGTGCTTTTGTTGGTTCCCTAAACTGTATTTAATATCCTGGCTTGTTCCATTTGCCTCAGGAGTTTTGTCACTTTATTTAGAGGTGTCATTTGTCCCTAGAATGGCCTGTGGGTTATTTTGTGGAGGCTGGACCCTCCCAGCACTTCCCATCTGTGGCATTTGCTTGCCTGTTTCTGTTGGGTGGGCAAAGGTTCCTTGACAGGAAGTCCTGCTGGGGCCACTGAGCTGAGTGAGGGTTCTGCCATCAGCAGTCCTAGCACTGGGACAGGGTGACCTGGACAAATGGTGCCTTCCTGAGGATGGCGATCACAAACATCTTCCTTAGCTCAAGGAAGAGTAGAAAAGAAATAAGAGTTTCTCTTTCAGGGCTACCGAACAGTTCCTGGACAGCCAGGACCTCATTAGCAAGGCTCAGACTAAAGGAAGAGTATATCAAAGTCTTTCCTTTCTGCTGATTCCTCTACTGCACCATCTAGCTCAGGAGCCCTGACCACCAGTGCTGCACACTTCAACTTTAATGCATTAAAATGAAATAAAGTTAAAGATTCAGCTCCTCAGTCTCTCTAGCCACATTTCAAGTGCTGAGTAATCATCTCAGTGGATATAAAAGTGTCTCTCATGTTCCAGAAAGTTCCACTGGACCATAATTGGATTAGACAGGAGGCCAGTGTGCCCTGAGCTCTAAATAATTCTCTGTAGTGAGATGTGAATTTCTCTAATGCTAAAAGAACATATTTTCTTTATGGACATGAAAGCTCCCTTGGCTTTTATTTTTATTTATTTTTTAAAATATGTTTTGATTGATTTTAGAGAGAGAGGTAGGGAGAGGAGAGAGACAAACAGAGAAACATTGATTGGTAGCCTCTCCTATCCACCCCAATGAGGGATTGAATCAACTACCTGGGTATGTGCCCTGATGGGGAATTGAACCAGTGACCTTTTGGTGCACAGGACGATGCTCAATCAACTGAGCCACACTGGTCAGGATGAGCCCTTGGCTTTTAGTTGTTCGAAATGCTTTAGGCAGTGTTAATGGTTGCTATAAAATCGAAAGATGTTAAATTGGGGTACACTAGTCACTAGTGAGCTTATATTAGTAAGCTTTTTGTTTTGTTTTTGTCTTTTTTCATGTTTTATTATTGAGGTTTGTTAAAGATTTATTTTTATTTATTTATTTTTAAATAGGTTTTTATTGATTTGTTTTTAGAGAGAGAAGGAGGGAGTGAGAGATAGAGACATCGATTGGTTGCCTCCTGCATGACCCCACCAGGGATTGAGCCTGCAACCCAGGCATGTGCCCTGACTGGGAGTCGAACCGGGACCTCTCAGTCCATGGGACGATGTTCAATCCACTGAGCCATACCAGCCAGGCTGAGGTTTTTCTTAAAATCAAGTTTGGCAATCAAGTGCTAAAAATCTGATCGCACTTGGTGGCATAAGATGAACCAGTAAACAGACTGAGTGATGGTGAACGCTCCTGTCCTTGATCTCATGGCCAATTAAAAAATTTTTTTGTTTCTTTATTGATTTTAGAGAGAGAGGAAGGAGAGGGAGAGAGAGATGGAAACATCGATGAGAGAGAACATCTCTCTCCTCGATGCATGGGCCATCTCCTACATGCCCCCCACTGGGGATTGGGCCCACAACCTGGGAATGTGCCCTGACCGGGAATTGAACTGGTGACCTCTTGGTGCATGGGTCGACACTCAACCACTGAGCCACACTGGCTGGGCTAACAGAAGGACTTTGAAATGACACTTTTATTTTTACTACAGAGGTTGTTGCACAGGTGACTTTCTGGCATTAGCAAGGCCCTGCACATCTTGGTAAATGTTTTCCTGTAATGCCATCAGAAGGGACATTTTATTTTTCTTTTTTTGTTAATCCTCACCCGAGAATATATTTTTCTATTGATTTTTAGATAGAGTGGAAGGAAGGAAGGGAGAGAGGGAGAGAGATAGAGAAACATTGATGTGAGAGAGAGACATCAATTGGTTACCTCCCTGCCCTGGTCGGATTGGCTCAGCGGTTGGAGCATCAGCCTGTGGTTCAGAGAGACCCAGGTTTGGTTCCCGCTAAGGGCACATACCTCAGTTGCAGTTTGTCCCCAGCCCTGGTTGGGGTCGTGTGGGTGACAGCCAGTTGACGTGTCTCTCTCACATCAATGTTTCTCTCTCTCTCTCTCTCTTCCTCCCTCTCTCCCTCCTGCTCTATCTGAAGATGAATGCAAAAATGTCATCAGGTGAGGATTAAAAAAAAAACACAAAAAAACTGGCCTGGCCAGTGTGGCTCAGTGGTTGAGCCTTGACCTATGCACCAAGAGGTCACCGATTCAATTCCCGGTCAGGGCACATGCCCAGGTTGTGGGCCTGATCCCCAGCGGGGGCATACAGGAGGCGGCCAATTGATGCTCTCTCTCATTGGTGTTTCTGTCTCTCTCTTCCTCTCCCTTACTCTCTCTCCAAAAATCAATAAAGAAAAAATTTTTTTAAAACAACACAAAACAAAAAAAAACCTGGTTGCCTCCCTCATGACCCCGACCGGGGCCAGGGATTGAACCTGCAAGCCAGGTATGCGCCCTTGACTGAGAATTGAATCCTTGACCCTTTGGTCCACAGGCTGACACTCTAACCGTTGAGCCAAACCAGCCAGGGCCGGAAGGGGCATTTTCATTAGACATTCAGCAGTGTGGTGCCAATACCAGAGCTGAGTGCAGCTTTGAGTGTCCCCTAAGTGGTAATGAGTTATCCTGATTCCGTCTACACTCACCTCTAGAGCTGTTCATTTGAGTTGACAAACTTCCTGTGGAGGTAGGAAAAGGTTATCTAAGAGGAAAGTAAGGTATTTTTGAGGCCATCTTTACATGCTTGTAGCTTCTTCAGAATATTAGACAGCCTGGCAGCAGGGACTATCACCAAGTGCTCTTTTGCATAATGACCTTTAGGCTTGGCAGGGAAATCTAAACTTTGAGCTCCTGAGGAGCCCTCAGGGAGGCCCACAGAATCCTCCAGGTACCTGCTGAGCTCTAGTTGGTGGGTTTGGGAGGGTGGTGCCTACTGGATCTATCCTCCCATTGTAGTGCCGTGAAGAACCTTGTCGACAGCAGCGTCTACTTCCGCAGTGTGGAGGGTCTTCTCAAACAGGCCATCAGTATCCGGGACCACATGAACGCCGCCACCCAGAGCCACAGATAGCTTCCAGGGCCACCCATCCTTGCTGCTCTCAGCCTCATTGCTGTAAGAATCTTCGCCACTCAGCCAGGAACTGCGCTTACTGCTCCTTGGACAGCTCCCCATCCTCATCTCACAATGTTTGGTGGCTTCCTCTTGTCCTTTGGTGTCTGTGGCAGGAGAGTTCAGTCACTTGGTACCCAGATCCTGAGCTCTGCTTTGTGCCAGGTTGGGTGCTGGGGACAGAGAGGTGGCCAGGACAGGCATGTTTGGTCTTACAGGGAGACACACAGCAACCAGGTACACACAGAACAGATCATAGCATTTCAGACATGTGCAAAGGTAAAAAGGGGATATGGAGCCTCTCTGTTGAGTTGGAGGAAGTGCAAGTGGAGGCCTGAAAGATTTGCTAATAGATATGACTTGGGATAATGTTCCAGGCAGGGCAGTGGTGAGGACAGAGGCCCTGGGGCTGAGGATCTGGGTGTGTTGGGGAACATCTAGAAGATGAGTGTGGCTGGAGCAGGTGATCGAGGGGGAGAGTGGCGTTGGGGAGGTGGGCAGCAAGCAGGGAGAGTGCCCAGAGCTAGAGGAGGCTTTGAGCTGAAGACCAGATGGTCTAAAAATAAAGCATTATAGACCTTTGCACACTGGGGAGAGAATCTTGGGGGAAGACTCTTTTTGTTTTTGTTTTCATTATAACTTATAAATATATGTTTGAACACACACACACACACACACACACACACACACACCCTATAAGCTGTAACTCTAGTTTGAGATGTGCCTGGCTCCTGCAGTTTGTGGTTCTGGTCTGCTTGTCCCCTACCAGGTATTTAGAAAGAAGAAAACCTCTGTGTTGCAGTGTCGGAGAACTAAGACATGAGAACCATTAAAAACAAAAGTCTTTTGAATGTGTAAAAATGGATCTGCAGCAATCTTTCCTCTGAGGATAGCATGCTAGGGTTAATCTGGATACATGTGCATTAAATAACTATCTGGCTTTGGCTGTTCTACAGCCATCACTAGAGTTGACTCTGTAAAGTGCCTTGTACAGTGCCCTGTACTCAGTAGACCTCAAAAAGCCAGAGCTTTTACTTGGAACTCATGGTTTCCCAGGTGCTTTCAAATGCCTTGCTTGTGCCTCCTGTTGTGAAAATGCAAAGTGCTTTTTTTTTTTTTATCCTCACCCGAGGACATTTTTCCATTTTTTGTTCAGAGAGAGTGGGAGGGAGAGAGAGAGAGAGAAACATCGACATGAAAGGGACATATCGAGTGGCTGCCACCCACACGACCAACCAGGGCCGGGGACAAACTGCAACCCAGGTACATGCCCTTAGCGGGAACCGAACCCGGGTCTCTCTGGACCGCAGGCTGACGCTCTAAGCGCTGAGCCAAACTGGACAGGCGCAAAGTGCTTTTCTGAAAGTCTTGAGGTGCTGCAAACACCTCTCTTTGCAAACCCCATGGGTTCGAAGACATGCATGAGTCCCAGCCGTGACCTCTGAAGTGGGTGGCCGGTCCTATTTTTACCAAGGATGCTCTGAAGGCTCAGGCCAGGGTGAAGAGGCTTGGTCAGGTTACCCCACGCACACTCCAGCCTAGTTGAGCGGGTCTGATGACCTCTGACCTCAGCTTTACAGCCTGTTACTTTGGCCTCATGGGTACTGTACGTGTTTTATTCCAGCCCTGAGGAGTTGCCCCTGCCCTCCTCAGCCTGATCCCAGAAGAGATAGAGGTGCTTTGGCCCCTCTAACCATGTCAGTGCTGAGTGGGACCAGGAGCTTTCCTGTGCTCCATGCACTGAACTAACCTACCCCTTTGTTGTCCAAGAAGGGATCTACCCTCTAACCACTCAGACATGTAGGATAGTTTGGTCAGTGGGAGGGTGCAGGGTCAGGGGGACCTCGTGCCCTCTGTTGCTTGAGGTCATTGTCAGCCCATCTCCCTGGTGCTTTCTCTGCCATCTTCCTGCCCCTTATTTGGGCCATAGGTTCTCTCCTGATCCCAAGGACTCCTCCAAGACAGAGGGGATCCCACATTTCCCTGCCCTGCCACATGCCAGCTGCTTGCTTTACTTACACACCTTCTGTCAGACAGAGCCCAGCTCGGCAATTACCACCCAGCTCTGGACTCCTCATCCACCACTGACCTACTGTGTGACCCTGAGCAAGTCCCTCCCCCTCTCTGGTCTCTGCTTTTCCCTTCTGTGGAAGTGACTCAAGGTGGCAGAGGGTACTGCCGCATACAGTGATGTGCAGTGTAGCAGTCAGCTGCTGCATGCCAGACTAGCCCAGAACTTAGTGGCTTGCAGCACCAATCTGATTGCTCATGATTGTGGTTTGGGCTGGGCTCATCTGGTGGCCATTTGTGTGGCACTGTTGAGCTTCATTGGATCAGTAGGCAGAGATGCCCTCACCCATCTCTGTTGGCTGCAGGGGATCCAGTTTTCAACCTTCACGGGTCCACTCCAGCAGGGAGGGCAGCCCCAGTGCACATGGGCTTATTCAGCCTCTGCTTCCTTCACATTTGTGGATGTCCCATTGGTCAAGGCCCACCTTGTGGCCAGGCCCAGAACTGGACGGGAGAGAACTGCAGGAAGGCATCGATTCTGGGAAGTGAGGTTGACCTTGTGTGGAGAGCATGGCACCAAGAAAGGCCGGTGTATTGTTATTTTGTTCCCATTCAGGACAGACCCCAGCCAATCAGAGGTACCCAAGGTACTGAGTCCCTGGCTCGTATAGCTCTCAGAGCCCCTGTCCATCTGCTGTGATGGTGCTGTGTAGCATGGGGGCCCTCTCTGAGGGTTGTGGGTACATGGACAGGAACCCCACAGTCCCTACAGCAGCAGCCCTCAGAGCCAAGAAGCAGCAGAGTTCACACATGTGCAGTCAGAGAGCACTTACTGGGCACCTGCTGAGTGCCAGGCTTAGATCTGGGCCTGGGGTTGTGAGTAATCCCACAGCTGTGTGATCACTTGGAAGACATCTGGGAGGGGCTGCTGAGGTGTCTCCCTGTCCCATCCCCTCTGCTCTGGTCCTCCCACTCTATATCTCAAGGACACTGCCCTGCTGCACTTCCCACGTCCTTCGTACTCTGCTGTCCCTCCGCTGCTGTCCCCCTGCTGAGCAAAATGCTCTGTGCTCCTCTGATCCGCCTTAGTCCCAACAGACCCTGCTCTGCTCTTCCCCAGAATTGCCACCCTACTTCCTCTTTCAGAGCCTCCATTCCCACTGTCCCCAGCTGCTCCCCCTGGGTTGTCAAGTCTTGGCCTCCCCCAGCCTCTTCATCTGCCTCTCCCAGGGTCCTACATACAACCTCATTTTACAGAAGAGGAAACTGAGGCTCAGATGGATAAGGCAGGGTCACCACCCATGACTAAAAGTACAGGGTGACACCCAAGCCTTCAACTCCCCACCCCAGGCTTCACTTCTTCCCCCAGCCTTGTCAGGCTTATGCCTCAGGTACCATCCTCATTGGGGTGACCCTGCAGCCTTTGAGGCCTCTCATACCTCCTTGCCCTGACCCTCATCCCTTGTCCCTCATCCCCTAGCCTGACCAGAGCTGGGCCCTTGGACACAAACTTGTGGGATCTAGCAGGGATGAAAGACTAAGCAAGTGTGGCCAGCACAGTTTTCCCACGCCTGCCCCTAGCTTCCAGGCTGGCTGTAAATGTCCTGAGAAGAGGCTTTGCTGCCTCCTGACTCCTACCCCACATCAGCCACGGTCCCTCGGACCAGTAACTGCCGCTGTGTTAATCCCCATTGATTATGTTGTGCTGGGGGCTTTGCAGCAGTCATTTTTCACCTTCAGACAGCCCTGTAATGCAGGTGTCACCCTCAAATACATATGAGAAGCCATCATGGGATCCTGAATCAAGCTGTACCTGACACTAGTCCCTAAATTACTGTAGTTGCCAAAATTGCTTTGAGTCTTTCTGCTAACTGTGGAAGAGCCTACACTGATCTCTTCGAATTCTAGGCTTGGGAGGTCATAACCCATGGTCTGTACACCTCCAAGGCCAGTGTGTGTCAACACAGTGTCCAGCAAAATGTATCAGGAAGATCAGAGTGCAGTAGTTTGGGCTCCCAGGCCCACTGCTCTGGGAGGGTCCCCCCATATTTCCCTTGGCACTGTGGGTGATTGGGAGAGAAGGGTGACAAGTGCCAGGGGCAACCTAGGGGAAAGACAGAAGGTCCTGCTGTGGTGTCAGGGCTGTAGAGACGTCTGAGGGCCTGGGAGAGGGTTTAAGGACACAGGAGGTGTCAAGGAAGTACCACCTCTCACTGCCAGGAAATGGAAGTCAGTCTTCTCTCTCCCTTCCTAGGGTCTATGGGGGAAGGGGGGCTTCTATGCTGCTATTCTGCCTCCCTACCACCCCAGCTGAGTTTGAGGGGAGGGAGGCCCTGACTGGTGTGTGGGCCCTACAGAATCACTCTTCTTGCCTGTTCTGAAAGTACCTCTAATTGTCTATGTCTCCTTATACCTGTCCACCATGCAATCATTTACCCAGCAAATATTGACTGTCCTCTGTGTGCCAGGCCCTGCCTGTCCAGGGGATGCCCTGGTGAACAAGATAGGCCGGCCCTGACCCCAGTTGCTCAGACCTGCAGGACAGAAAGGCAGCTAAGTGAGGTAACTGTACATATCCCAAGGGCTCTGTGAGGTAGTAGGGGGAAGCTGTGGGCTGTCCCATACCTTTCCAGGTCTTGCCACCACCCACAGTCCCTGAACACAGCCTCAAGCAGAGACACATAGTCCTCACAAAGAGACCTGTGTAGGACTCTGGTCCATCAGACCCCTCACACCGAGTTCAAGGGCCCACAGGGGAAAGAGTAGGGCCTGGTAATTTGCATCTCATTTGCATGGCCATCTCCCTCTTCACACCCATGAACACCCCTTCACAGCCAGCCACCAGAGGGTGCAAGAGGCAAAGGCTTCCCAGGGTCTTTGTCCTCAGTCCCGAACTGATTGCAGTGGGGTCATTGTGACCCTTAGCTTTTTTTCACCCCATCCTCGATTCCATGTTTCAGAGAGGAAACTAAGGTTCCTTTAGGCTGGACTACTCATCAGGAACTCGCATCTGCCCTCACATGCTCCTGGTCATGTGTTGTGGTCTTAGGGTATGGTATTC